GCGCCCGGCTGGCCCCGTCTTGCTGGGTGGCAGCAGGAGCCTCCCGCGCCGCTCGCAGCCCCGGGCGGGCGGGCACACCCCGTCATTAGCCCAGCTGCCGGCGCTGCCCGGGCAGGGAGGGGGCGGCAGGGCCGGCACGGCCTGCTGGGGATGAGGATGAGGATGGTGCGAAGGCATCGCCCACCAGCGCCTGGCTCTCCCCTCCGTGCGTGGGACCCTGCGGGGGCACCCCCGCGCCCCATGGATGCCCCTGACGCGTGGGGGAGGCAGCCGGGGTCAGGCCCAGCAGCTGCTCGGGACGTGCCCTGCGGGTCCGCTGTGCACAATGACCCCATTGAGGTCCCGCGGGGCGGGGGGAACACCCAAGGTGGCGGTGGCAGAAGTGAGTCCAGTGTCAGCCTCAATCCTGCTATTTATACCCGGCGGAGGGGCGGCCTTGGAGGGCACGGGGATGGGAGCGCTGCCAACCCCTCCCTGCCCCATGCCAGGGCATCCCGGAGGGCAGCGCCCCCGGCCCCCCGGCTTTCCCTCCCCGCCCCACGGCCCAGCCCGGCGCCAGCCCTGCCAGGAAGGGCCCCAGCGCCGGGACCAGCTGCAGCCGCTTCCTCCCGGCCCCGCCAGGAACTGGGGAGCCCGCAGGGGCTCCGAGCCCCCGGCTGCAGCCGAGCTAAAGGGAACCGAGCGGCTTTGGAGCCGCAGGGCTCGCGGGGGGCACCTGGGTGCTGGATGCCAGCATCCAGCTGGGAGCTCCTTGGGAACCTCCCAGCTTTACCAAGGGCGAAGTCCCGGCACATCAAAGGCGGGCGGAGGCAGCGGGAGCCGGGGCAGGAGCCTTTGGTCGCTGCCAGCGCCCGGCTCCGCCGCCCCACGGAGCTCCCACCGCCCCGCACCGGGGGCATCGGGGGCACCGGGCTCCGGGGTCGTGCCCCCCTCCGCGGCGTGGCGCCCAGCCCATCGCTGTGGCAACCGCCAGCAGCTCCGGGTGTATTTTCTGCACCAGGGCCACTGTGGGAACCTGGACGGATGCCACCTCATTCCGCTGGGCTCTCTGGGCCGCCTTTGTAGCCGGCACCGAGCCCAGCTGGCAGCGGCTTCCTCCCCAGGCTCCCGCTGCCCCTCGCGGGTCACGGCCCTGGCGGGGAGCCGCTGGGAGGGGGCTGTGCTGGAACCCCCAGCAGGAGAACACGCACCCCCTCCGGCTTTGGGCCACCTCCAGCAGCGCCGTGAGGCCTCCAAGGCCGCCCTGAGCGAGGGCCGTGCCCGTGGCCCCGGGGAAGGAGCCCCTGCCAAGGCACCTGGGACTCGCCGGGCAAAGCCCGACCCCACCGCCCCCTGCCTGACCCCGGCAGCTCGCAGCGGTGGAATCGCCAAGCGCAGCAGCACAATCTGAGATTCCCATGTCCCGTTCCCACTCTGCCCAGCCTGCCAGTGCCTCAATTTCTTTCCCCACGAGAGAACTTGCCCCGGGCCAAGGTTTGCTGCGTGGCCGGTGTGGCACTGCTGGCCCCGGAGCTCTGTCGTGCTGGCTGCAGCACCCGCCCTCATCCTCAACGCCCTCCGGTGCTCGGGATTTTGGGGGTGAGGCCGCTGGGGCCGCGCTCCCCACGGGCAGGGCACCCCCAGAACCGGGACCGGGGGGTCCCACCGGGACAGATCCCGGTGCCAAACCCCGAGCCAGGTCCTGCTCCTCCCCACAGGGTTTTCCCTGAGCCGTGCCACGCTCCCTCTGCGGGGCCACGTGTGTGGGAGGGAATCGGAAAAGGAGCATTTTCCAGAGCTGGAAAGCCAGAGGAAAAAGGTTGCCGGCCGGAATGATTAACGCGGCCGGGTTAATCATTATACAGCAGCAGCACCCGCTCTCCCCCTCCCCATGCTAAGGAAGCTGTGAGGATTCGGCCTTCGAGCTGCCCAAGGGCGGCGTGGCCCAAGGACGCTCCGGGCTGTGCTCGCAGCGTGCGGAGCCTCCGCTGACCTTCCCACGCCGGGGCCAGCGGCAGCACGGAATCCGTGCAGGCAGGAGGGGGCCAGGTCTGCAGAACCCCCGGGACGGGCAGGGAGCTGCCCAGCACCTCCCAAAGGGGTCCCCAAACCCCAGGGAGCTGCTGGTGCATCCTGCAGCTCGCTGGCAGTGAGAGGAGTGGGAACAACCTCTGTACCCCCAGGGTGGGCACCGATGGGGCACAGAGACAGGCAGCATCCATCCCCAAGGTTTGGGCAGGGAAAGGGGCGGCTCTGCCGGCTGAGTCAGCCCGGAGGGAGCGGGGCTTCCTGGGCCTGCGGTGGGGTTTGGGGTTGTTTTTCCTACAGAGAGAAGAGAGCTGGGACCTTTCGCCTGCATTCGGGACTGGGTGGGACGGGGAAATGCCACGCGGCCAAACGCAGGGATTGCCGCCAGCACCGGGAGATTTGGCCTGGCAGAACCCGGCCCGTCTCGGAAATCATCCCCCGGAGAAGCGACGCCGCCGGCAGAATCCGTGATGCTTCACTTTCCGAGCGCTGCCGGCCCCGCTCCCCACCCTCCATCTGGCAGCAGAGGATGCGAGTCATGGGAGAGAGAGCCCTGCGTGGAAAGGGAGGAGGGGGGACAACACCAGCCCTCCTCCCCCGCTCCCACCGCGTTCCGGGCAGCCCTTCCCTCTCACACCCACCACGCCCCAGCCCAAAGCCGGAGACAAACAGGTCCTGGGGATAACTGGAGCACATCGCCCGTGCTGCTGGTCCTGCGTGGCCCCAGCAGGGGCAGGGACCCCAAGGCGGGGGCAGGGACCCCAAGGAAGGGGAGCTCAGCACCCATCACCCCAAAAAGAGGCAGAAAGCACAGATGGAGGCTGCTGTGCCCCTGGGCAGGTGCCAGCACTCCAGGAACAGGAAAATGCCACACTGGTGTCACAATCCAGGCTGGTGTGGGGGCAGGGGAGAGGAGGGTGACCTGCTGAATCACACCACGATCCACAGCAGCACTGTCCCCCAGGCTGGGCTCAATGAGCACAATGAGCAGGAAAGGGCTTTGCTTCTGCAGCAGCTGCACATTCCCTGCACCCAGTCAGGCCATGTTTGTGGCATCCAGCAGGACGTGACCGATGGTGCCTCTGGCATGGGCAGTGGGAGCCAGGGGAGGAGGAGAACGTGGCTCTGCAGAGCCAGATAATGAGCATGGAGGGGAAGGGCTGGAGGCAGAGGGGCTCAGAGCTGAGGCTGCAGGGAGCAGGCTGGCCTGGGAGTGTGGAGGAGCACAGGCATCCACCCACACAGGCCCTGCACCCCCAAAAGTGCACAGGCATCCACCCACACACGCCCTGCACCCCCAAAAGTGCAGCTCAGGGTCAGCAGGGCTATGATGCTGCCAGCCAGGCACCCACAGCCCCTGCCCAGTCCTGGCTCAGGACAGAGCCTTGTCCTTGCATCCATGGGTGCCTGGACATGGAAGGGTCCCCCCTGCTGCCCCCAAATGCAGCCTACAAGTCCCAGCAGATCTCAGGCTGTGGAGCACGCAGCCAAGGGCGGCTGAGAGGGGGCAGGACCGGATCCCTGGGCCCCCCCAGCTCCCCTGGCGCTGGCGGGAGGCAGTGGGAAGAGCTGGTGAGAGGACGCTGACGGAGACACTTTTTTCCCAGTCCTAAAAATAGCAGCTGGCCGTTTCCCCAGCTTCCCGGCCTCGCCAACGCTCTTCCATTAGATGAAAAACCCGAGGCAGCCACCTTCCGTCAGCACGGCTGCGTGTGCTGGGGGAGGCTCACGCAGCCGAAATAGCAGTTGGGGACAGAGAGGGGCAGCGGGAGAGGGAAGGGAGCTGCCCGGCCCCAGTCATTCCCAAGATGTTTTAATTAGTACAGCTCTGAGTCTTCGGAAGCTTTGCTTATGCTCTCAGTGCAATGTCTGACCTTTAAGGAAAAAAAAAAACGGGAATGAGAGGGGAAGGGGAAAAGGCACTGGAGCAGCTCAGGAGCTGGAAGTCGGCTGAGCTTCAAATAGGCTCCGCGTCAGGCACTCGGAGGCTTTTAATAAGCCACAGAGTGAGAAATTTAACACCACAGGCTCTATTTTTGATCACTTGTGAAGGGGGGGGGGAGAGAGAAAGACAGAGTGAGCGAGAGGAGGGGGAGGAGGTGGTGGTGAGAAGAGGAGGCAGCCAAGATTACATCCTGGGTGGCAGTGCCCAAAATAGCCGTGCCCTGCTCCGAGCGCAGAGCGGGAGGCTGGAGTGGCGAGCACTGACCTCACAGGCAGCCAACACAGCTCCCCAGGCTGGAACAGCGCAGGGAAAAGGGGATTAGAGGCACGCAGAGGGAGGGACGGAAGCTCTGCACAGCAGTGGAAACCCCAAATCCCTCTGGAAAGGCGTGGGAGGGTGGCATGGAGCGAGGGGCCCGGCAGCAGCTGGTGCAGCAGGACACACGGCAGGACACACATCCCTGGCACAGGCAGAGCTGTCCCATGCCCAAACCCGCCCCTTCCCAGCAGTGCTGCAGCCCAGTGAGCCTTTCCTGCTTCCCTGGGCTGTGAGGAGCCCTGAGGAACCCCAGGTGGCCTCCTCAGATAGGGCTGAACCCAGCGAGCCCCAAGCTCAGCAGAGCAGCTGCAGCCATCCCCAGCACGAAGGGAAGCAGGAAAGATTTCCACCATGCACAGCATCTGCTTCCCTCTCCAGGCCAAGCCCATCTCCAGGAGCAAGGCAGGGGATGGGGCAGAGCCCAGCAGCTGCTGTCCAGCTGTGGGAAGCTCCCTGGTGTGCCAGTGTGGATTCCTGAGGCTGAGGCTGGGACAGGATGGCTCTGGAACAGATCTGTGCTGCTGAAATCCTGCAGTCCAAGTGCTTACTGGAGATAGAGGTGGCTGGAGCACAGGGAGGGGATTATAAATCTGTCTGATGAACCTCCCCAGGGTGAATCTCCCCTGCCAAACCCCGGGGCAGTGCTGGTGAGCCCTTCCCAGGGTGAATCTGCCTCGGGGCAGGAGCTGGGAACTGCTCCTGGCTGCAGCTGCAAGTGCTGCCTGGGAAGAAGGCGATGTGCCACAAGAGGGGGTCACATTTCCTTTTAATTGATCAGAACCATTTCTCCACCTCCATTCGTCCTGCTCCATCTGTACAGCTGGGAGTAGAACAGGGACAGGCTGGCAGTTCTGCATCCACAGTGGGATTCCTGCAAAACACAAAGTGGGGTCAGGTTAGTGCGGGGTGGGCTTGGCTGGGCCATGGATCCCAACCCCAGGGCTTGGCCCCACTCCAGCTGTGCAACTGCTGTGAGTAAACACGAGCTCTGCAGGACCAAAGAGCACCTGGATCAGAGATCAGGAGAGAGCAGGAGCTGCTGCCCTCCTGTGCTCCAGGCTGAGCCCGTTGGAGGCTGCCAGTGACTCACAGCCCTGCTCAGCACACACTGCTGCAATTCCTGGCTGCCAGCACGTGGGAAGGGAGGGGATGAGGCACAGTCTGTGCAGGGCAGAGCAAAAAGAGGCCACAAGGTAAGAGCCTGGCCTCACCTCCCCTGAGAATGAAGCTGTTTGGCTTTAGTGGGAGTGTGTGTGGCAGAGATCACATGCTGTGGGGCCCAGGGGAACCAGTGAGGCCCCAGCAGTGACCACAGCTCCCAGTCTGTCCCAGCACCATCCACCCACCCTTATCAGGGCTGAACTCCAGTGTCACAGCTGGGCTGGAGCCCACAGTGTCACAGCCAACCCCAGGCCCCACTGCCACCAACAGCCCCAGGACAGCTCTGGGCTGGGGACCCCAATGAGCCCCCCCAGAGCTGAGGCCTGACCCTGGCAAGGGAAAGCTGTGTTCACTGCTCCCCAAAAGCAAGGCAGACCCCCTCACCCAGCCCAGCAGGCCCTAGAGCAGGGCTGGATGCTCAGCCAAGCTGAACCTCACCTGGATTTACTCCAGAGCCTTCACCAGGGCTTCGTTAGCTTCTACCTTAATCTGAGCTTCTGCTTTAGCAGCTTCATCAGACGCTGCTGCCATCTCTGACACAGCTTTCTCCAGGTTGGATTTTGCAGTCTGGACATGAGGGCAGAAAGGATTTGTGTCATTGGCAGATACTGCAGGAGAGGGGACTGTCCTTCCCTCCCTCCCCTGCAGCCACTGGTCCTTCATGTGGATGCCAAGGACCCAGTGACTTGGGAGCCTCACAGAGCTACAGACACAGCTGTGCTGGCCCCAGACACGTTATCAGCAGGGAAGAGCTGTTCTGGAGGTGAGGACAAGGTCAGTGTCTGTCCAAGGGGTGGGAAATGGTGTGAGATTTATGCCTGCAGAGCTCCCTCTCTCCAGAGAGTTCACCAAGGAGGAGCCCCAAGCCTCTGATCCCAAAATGCAGTGGGGGTGCTGACACCACCCTGGGTTCTGGCCACAAGGACCCCAGAGCACAGAAGGGGAGCAATTTCCCCACCAGGGTGGGTGAAATCCCTGGGTACTCACAGCCAGGTCCAGCATGTCCATGGTCACTGCCTCCTCTGCCAGCACCTGCACCGTGGAGTCGGCGTGGACAGTGACAGAGCCGCTGCTCACTGTGAGGGGGCACAACATGGGGTGTGGCTCAGCCCGGGGGCTCAGCCCTGCCATCCCCACCACCCTTCCCCAGAACAAACCCTCAGCCCCCTCCTGGCACAGTTCCAGCATTCAGGGACTCAGCTCCCACCCCACAGCAAGCTGGAGCAGGGGATGGTCCCAGAAAACTTGAGCAAAACCAAGACCTGACCCCAGCCCACAGCTCCCAGATCAGCTCCCAGCAGGCTGGGAAAGCAGAAATCCCTGGAAGTGCACCAGGCCACACCTGGATGGGCAGAGCCTGCCTTGTGAAAGCGCCAAGAACACCAACCCCACGCACACCTCTCCTCCCCAGCTCACCAAAGTACTTGGTGGCCGTCCCATCCTCGGCGTGGACTGTGACAACGCCCGGCCGGAGCACCTGGAGCGTGGGGACGTGGGATGCCAGGATGCCAAAGGAGCCCGTCAGCGTGGGCACGTCCACCTGCTTCACGTTGGCACCGTTGTAGAACACCTGCACGGACGGAGAGGACAAAAAAAAAGCAGAGTCACCAGGGATGGGGGGATGGAGAGCCCATCCCAAGGGAGCAGCCCGGCTCCTGGCAGGTTCAGGGTGTGCCCAGGACAGGCTGCACCCGCAAAGGGTGGGAGCAGAGCCGGGCTCCAGAGCACAGCTCCTGGCAAAGGCACTGGGGAAGCGTTCCCAGCTGCCGGGGCACGGCGGGGAGGCGGCACACGGAGACACCGAGTCGGGAGTGGGCGAGAGGCGCCGGCACAGCCTGGGAAGCGCGTGGGGAGCCCTGAGCCGCTGTCCCCGCTGCGGCCCACGCTGCCGGGCTGTCCCTGTCCCCAGCGCCCTGCCCCGGGGCCAGCCTGGCAGGCACGGCGGGGGCGGACCGGCCGCGTCCCGCTCCAGGCCGGGCCCGGCAGGCGCAGCGGGTCCGACAGCGCGGCTGGAAGGGCTGGAGCGGCCCCGGGAGCGCTGCGGCGGGGAAAGAGCGCCCGGACAGGCGGGCCAGGCCCGAGGTCAGGGCCAAGGTCAGCCCGGGGACAGCCCAGGGACAGCCCGGCCGTGCCCCGGGAGCCGCGGAGCCCCCGGGAGCGGAGAGCCCCGCGGGGGCGGCAGCACCGCCCGCGGCCCGCCCGCCCCGAGCCCTCAGGACACACCGGGCGCGGCGGGGGCGGGGGCACCGGGAGCGGGGCCGCGGCGGGCATACCTGTGTGGGTGAGGCGAAGGTGAAGGCCATGGCAGCGGGGCCGCCGGCGGCGGGATCGGCATAGCCGCGGCTGGGCGGCAGCGGTAGCGAGGGGCGGGCGAGGCGGAGGAAGCGGCGGGCGCAGAACATCGCGGCCATGGCGGCGGCGGCGGCGGCGGCGGCAGCGGCGGCGGCGCGGGGCAGGCCGGGACAGCAGCGGACCACAGTTCCCGACGTGCCCCGCGCGCCACCCGGCGGAGGAAAAGCACGCAGCACCGCATGGCCTTATGGGAGTTGTAGTCTCCCCGTTCTCGCCGAGTGCCGTGGTGCTGGGCGGGGGGGCCCGCTCCGCCTCCGCACCGAGGGGCAGCCGCGGCCCCGGGCCCGGTCCGGCCGTGCCCCAGCGGCGCGGGGGGCTCCGGGGCACCGGTGGGCACGGGGAGGTGGGACAGGGATGCAGGGAGGGGTACAGACAGGGATGCAGGCAGGGATGCAGGTGGGGATGCAGACAGGGATGCAGGCAGGGCGGGTGTAGGCAAGGCTGGTGCAGGCAGGGATGCGAACAGGAGCGATGCCAGGGCTGGAGCAGGCAGCGGTGTAGTCAGGGCTGGGGCAGGCAGGGAAAAAAGCAGCGGTGCAGGCAGCGGTGCGGGAAGGGGCGCCGGCAGGACTCACAGACAGGACTCACAGACAGGACTGCGGGGCAGGTAGAGGAGCAGGGGGTACGGGCAGGGGAGCCGGGGGTACGGGCAGGGGGTACGGGCAGGGCTGGTGCAGGCAGGGCTGGGGCAGCCCCTGTCCCCACGTGACGCCCGCGCCGCGCGGGGGCGGCTCCGGTTCATTCATAAATCCCGGGGCCGCCCCGCCGCACCGAGCGCAGCGGCGGCGATGGAGCCCCGGTCTCGGTTGTAGGTGAGTGTCTGGTTCCGGCGCCTCGCGACAGCGCCTATCGCGACACAGGGAGCCGGCACGGCCGAGGGGAGACCAGACCATCACTCCCTATCGCGCGTAGAGGTCCCGGGGGCTCCTGCCTCGCTGTCACCAGCGCTGTCACCAGCTCTGCCTGCATCCCTTATTCCTTCCTGTCCCACATCCCTGCTCGCATCTCTCATCGCTCATCCTCCATCCCTATCTCCATCCATGCCCCACATTCCTGCCAGCATCCCGCATCCCTGCCCGCATCCTGCATCCCCCATCCCTGACCGCATCCCGGTCACCGAGCTGGGGCAGAGCGGGTCCCCCCACGCCCCCAGCCCAGCCCCGGTCCCCGTGGGTCGCACACACGCGTGGGGAGCAGCCCCGGCCCGCCCCCCGCACCCCTTCCCACGTGCGGAGGCGCGGCAGCACCGGCATCCCCCGGCCCCGAGCCCCCGCCCCGGGCTCCGGCGGCCACCGCGGGTCCCGCCCCGCGTCCCCCCCGGGGGGGACAGCCCGGGGAGCGGCCCCCTCCTCCAGACAATGGCCGTCCTGTTCCTGTCGGGTCGCCATGGAGACGGGATTCCTCCATGATGGGGAACAGCAGGGACATTCTTCCCGCTCCCCCCGCCTCGGGCCTGAGGCTGCCCCGCAGGGATCCCGCCCGTGGAGCCGCAGCCCCCTCGCCCGGGGTCCCTCCATGTGCAGGACCCCCCCACACACCCCCTAACCCTTTCTCGGGGGTCTCAGGGTGGGTCCCCTCACCTCGTGCAGCGTCCCACCAGCTTGGAGAGGCGTGAGGGCAGGTGCAGGCAGGGGGGTCTCTGCCTCAGGAGCCCCCCAACACCCCCATGTCCCTCCAAGGGGTTGATACCCCGACCTGTGACAGGGCTGCCCTCAGCCATCACTGTCCCTCGCTGCCAGCCGCGACACGGCCACGAGTGACAGTCCCCACCCCTTCACCGGCTCCATTCACATTTTTCACTGACCTAATTCTGAGCGGCTTCCAAGCGCCCACCCCTGACAAATCCGGGGGTCCCCAACACAGCATCGCCCACCCAGCCCCGGAGGGACACACGGACAGGGACACACAGAGGGACACATGGAGGGGACACAGGGGGGGACACATGGAAGGGACACACAGAGGGACACATGGAGGGGAGACACGCACAGGGACACAAGGAGGGACACACGGACAGGGACACACGGAGGGATACATGGAGGGGATACACGGAGGGGACAGACGGAGGGGACACATGGAGGGGACAGAGGGACACAAGGAGGGACACACGGAGGGATACGAGGGGACACACGGAGGGGACAGACGGAGGGGGACAGACGGAGGGACACACGGAGGTACACATGGAAGGGACCCATGGAAGGGACAGACAGAGGGACACACGGAGGGGACACATGGAGGGACATATGAGGGGACACACGGAGGGACACACAGAAGGGACTCACGGAGCGACACAAGGAGGGGACACACGAGGGGGACACACGGATGGGGACATACAGAGGGGACACACGGCCTCGCAGCGGGAGCTGGAGCTCGGAAGCCCCCGGGAAGGGGAGGACAGACACACGGGAGGGTGATGAGGTCCCCGCCAGGTCCCCAAAGGCCGCGCAGTGGGTGAATGGGACCCCATCCCGGCAGCTCTCGGTGCTCAGGAGCTCAGGGCCCCCCCGGCCCCTCGGTGTCCCCCCCCCGCGGACAGCCCGGTGACGGAGCCGCTCTCGGGATGACTCACGAGCGTCACCCGTCGCTCTCCGGCGACACCCACGCCACGAGCTGTGGGGCGGCCGCTGCCCCCCGTCCCTGCCGGGAGCCCCAGCGCGGCTTCCCCCGACTCCTGCGGGCTGGGGGTACCCCAAGGGGGCTGCGTTTGTCCCTTGGGGGCGGCAGCGCGGTGTCACCCCGGATCTGGGGCAGGGATTTCACCCCCCTGGCCAGCTCTGGCCACCGGCACCGGCCACGGTTTGGGGGCTCCGGTCCCAGCCGGGCGTGGGGACCGTGGGCGTTCCTCGCGGGGCCGGGGGTGGTGCCCACGCGAGTCCGGGGGCTCAGGGGGTCCCTGGGGAGGGGCAGCGGTTCTGCCCTCGCCTCCCCATCCCTCCATCCGTCCATCCCTGCCTCGCTCCTGACCACACCCTCCATCCCTTCATCCTTCCCCTGAGCACACCCTCCCTTCATCCCTCCATCCCGGTCCCTCCCTCCATCTCTCCATCCCGGTCCCTCCCTCCCGGTCCCTCCCGGCAGCTCCGCACCGCGGTGCCGGGCAGGGGCCGGGCAGGAGCCGCCGCCGCCGCCCCCGGCCCGGCCCCACCGTCCCGGCCGGTGCCTCCCTCCGTCTCCCCCCGCCCCAGGACACGCTCGGGCCGGGACGGACCATGAGCGATGACCCAACACCCTGGGACAACGCGACCGAGAGCGCCACGGTGAGTGCTGCTGTCCCTGCCTGCCCTGCCTGCCTCGGGCGCCCCTCCCCGAGCCGCCAGCCCGGGGGTCCCGCGGGACGGGGGGGATTCATGTTCGGAGCTGTGGGGTTCTCGCGGCTGCCGTGGGTCTGGCGCTTTCGCTCGGGTGGGGGCCCCGCTGTCACCCCCTGCTCTGCCAGCGCTGAGTGGGTGACAGCTCCCAGTGCCCTGTGCCCTGCTGGGATGCTCTGGAGGTGCTGGGGGTCCGGGGGCCTGGGCGCTGCTGTCGGATCAGCCCCTCTCCCCCGGGTGGGGCCGGCTTGGGGGTCCTGTCGCCGTTCCCATCCCCATCCCCGTCCCTGTCCCCGTCCCCATCCCCGTCCCCATCCCCGTCCCCATCCCCATCCCCATCCCCATCCCCGTCCCCATCCCCATCCCCATCCCCATCCCCATCCCCATTCCCATCCCCGTCCCCATCCCCATCCCCATCCCCATCCCTCTCGCACTCCGCGCGGGGGCTGGGGCGGCTCAGCCTCCCCCGTTGCCGTTGCCGTGGTGCGCGCAGGGCCCGGGGGCGGCGGGGGGCGGCGGCTCCGGGGGCAGCGCTGGCGTCAGCGCGGCGGGGGCAGGTTCGGGGTGCGCCGGGGTCCCCCGGAGCATCCCCGCGGCTCAGCCCCTCGGCCCCGGGCAGGCGGTGCCCGGCGAGGTGTCCCCGCAGGATGGGTACGTGCTGCTCCTCGCCCTGCTCTCCATCTTCATCGGGGGCACGCTGGTGCTGCTCTCGGGCATCCTGATCATCTGCCGCCGCTGCTGCGAGGCCGATCGCCGGCACTCCAGGTGGGCCAGGGGTGAGCACGCCGCTGTCCCCGGGGTGTGTGGCAATGCAGGGAGGGCCGGGGGGACTGGCACGGGCACCTCTGATCCTCCTCCCCCCGCAGAGCCAGCGATGATCCCGAGAAAACCAACACCACTTACCTGGATGACTCGCAGCAGGCGCAGGGTGAGTGGCCCGGGTGCTGATCCCCCCATATTGCATCCTGAGTTTTGGGGAGGGGGGTGAGACAGCCCCTGGGCCCTCCCAAGGGGAGCAGCCACCACCACACACCCCTTGTGCCCTCCATTGTCCATCCCTGGCTGTGAGCAGGGAATTCCAGGCTGGCATTGAGGCCATGAGTGCAACAAGTTTGCCAAGCCTCAGCTGGGGCAGATGGGGCACACCACGGTGGGGGGAGCTGGTTGCTGACCCCCTTCTCTGCAGATATCACCGGCAAAGCAGAGGACCCCGAGTGCCTGTCATCCTCCAGCTACCGGGATGCAGAGAGTGAGAGGTTCCTGTCCTCCAGCTCCTCCACTGCCCGGCGCGTCTCCTTCAACGAGGCTGCGCTCTTTGACCAGGGCAAGAAGACCCAGGAGAAGGGGAGGAGGTGAAGCTCTGGGCTGAGGGGGGGGACAGGGGGTTGAGGCTGCCCCTCCTGACCCAGCTGTCCCACAGGTACACGCTGACAGAGGGGGATTTCCACCACCTGAAGAACGCACGCCTGACTCACCTGCACCTGCCGCCGCCTGCCCTCAAGATTGTCACCATCCACGAGTGTGAGTCCAGCGAGAACAGCCTGGCCATGACCCCCCGCCTGCCCCCGCCCAAGCCTGGCCTTGCCATCTTCCAGGTGAGCTTTCAGTGCCCGAGGGACAGATGGGACATCCTGCAGCACCCCAGGGAGGCACCGCTGGGCCTCAGGGCATTGCTGGAAGCAGAGCCAGGAGGTGCTGGGGTGCAGAGGGCCCCCATTGTCCCCAAACCCCCTGAGCGTGCTCTGCCTCACAGCCCCCTGCAGGAGCCCTGCCCCGGCCAGTGCTGCCCAGCCATGCCGTGGGCCCCAGCTCTGCCCTGCCCGGGGACACCTACAACTCCACGGTGGACACCAGCTTCACAGAGGCCAGCCCGTCCGCCTCCTCCGACTCCGGGGAGGGGCCTTCGGTGAGTGCTGGGCCGGGACTGGGCAGGGGAAGGGGCTCCCAAGGGTCCTGTCCTGCTCCCTCCCTGCTCCATGGATCCCGTCCCTGCCCTCTCGCTCCGTGCCAGGGCTCAGGAAGAGACGTGGGCATCCAGCTAGAAACAGGCTCTGCTCCCTGCCCCGGGGGACATTTGTGCATCTGCTGCAGCCCAGCTCTGACAAAGGAGCCGAGCGGGATGCGGGGGGGGCTGGGGAGGCAGGACAGGGTCCGAGCGGGCACTCACGGCCCCCCCGGCCTCCCAGTTCACAGCAGCACCCAGGAGCGGGAAGGCGGCTGGGGGAGGCAGCGCCGGCCCCGGGGAGCCCCCCCAGACCCCCCCACAGGGCACCGTGCTGCAGTTCTTCACCCGCCTGCGCCGCCACGCCAGCCTGGACGGGGCCAGCCCCTACTTCAGGATCAAGAAGTGGAAGCTGGAGAGCACCCAGCGGGCGTCCAGCCTGGACACCAGAGGTGGGGGTCAGCGCGGGGGCTGTGGAGGGTGGGGGGACACGTGTGGGCGGGGGGCTGCTGGTGCCGCTTGGATTGTGCCCCCCAGCCCTGCCCTGCGCCCCCCAGGATCCCCCAAGCGTCGGCAGTTCCAGAGGCAGCGGGCGGCCAGCGAGAGCATGGACCAGGAGGACCGGGACCCGCACCAGACCGACATCATCCAGTACATTGCCCACACGGACGACGTGTCCTTCCACCCCGCGGGGGGCCCCTTCCTGCCCTCCCCCGCCAGCCCCCCACCCTCTCTCGGCAGGTATTTTTCAGTAGATAAGAGGGGACGGGGATGGGTGAGCACCGGGAAGGCACCGAGGGACCCCGCGCTGCCCTGGGCATGGGGTGCTGCCACCTCTGCGGCTCTGGTGGGGTGAGGGGTCTGTGGTGAGGGGTCTGGGGGGCGCTGGTGACGGGGAGGTTGGGTTGGGGCATGAGCACGGTGGTGGCAGCAGCATGGAGGAGCGGGTGGCACCATGGCGCTGCTGTGGATGGAGCCTGCCGGGGCTGGGCTGGCACATCCCTGCCCGTCACCTGCGGGGTCTGTCCCTGACGTGACACCGGGGTGCTGCCCGCAGGCTAGAGCCAGGCGAGGGGGGCGCGGGCAGCCCCGGCGAGCCCAGCGTGCCCGAGCAGCCCAGCGCCTACCACGACATCTGGAGCCTGCGCGCCTCGCTGGAGCTGTACGCGGCCTCGGAGCGCAGCAACGACCAGGACTCGGTGCGCAGCGACGGCGGGGACAGCGTGTCCTCCGCCAGCGGAGTGCCCCCCTGCCCTTCCCCTACCCTGGATGAGCCCGAAGGCCCCGAGGAGAAGTTCTGGGCTCGGCCCAAGGCGGAGGAGTCGGAGCCCGGCACACGCAAGCTGCTGCAGATGGACAGCGGCTACGCCTCCATCGAGGCGCCCAGCCGGGGGGGCGAGGAGGGTCCCCCCAAGGACCAGACAGCCTCCGAGAAGCGCATTTGCTTCACCAGCGCCGGGCGGAAAGGAACCATCTTCGAGAGCTTCGAGGGCCGGGAGCCGGAGGAGGAGGAGGAAGATGAGGAAGAGGAGGAGGGCGGGAGCAGCACCCTGGGCGCAGCGGGTGGGGGGGCACACCTCCGTCCCCACAGCCCCCTGGCCTGGTCCCCGTACGGGCAGATGTTCCCGGGCCGGGAGGGGCTGCCCCGGCGGGATTACAGCATCGACGAGAAGACGGACGCGCTGTTCAACGCCTTCGTGCGCCACGACCCCCAGTTCGACGAGTCCCCGCTGCGGGGCAAGCACCGCTCCCGCACCCACCTGCGCAAGCAGTGGCAGCACACGAAGCAGTTCAGCGACCCCGGCGTGCGGTACCCGGCGCTGGAGCGGCACCGGACGCCCCTGCGCCGCGGCGACAGCGCCAATTACCCGCTGGACTCGCGGTTCCACAGCCCCCTGCCCCGCATCGTCAGCGCCGGCGATGAGGAGGCGGCGGAGGCGGCCGATGGGGTCCCCCCTGCCCCGGCGCTGCCGGACCCCGAGATCCAGGTGATCGTGGAGGAGCCCGGAGAGGCGGCCCCCGAGCCCAAGGCTGGCTCTGAGCCCCCTGAGGACGATGACTGCCCCGGCTCCGGGAGGTGCTTGGGGCTGGGCTCCGGCTCGGAGCTGATGGACAAGATCGCGGGCGGCCTGGAGGAGCGGCTCTATGGACACCTGAGGAGAGCGGCCGAGAGAGAGACCCCCGAGTGCGCCGTGGCCGTGGCTGCCAGCGATGCCTCCCCCGACCACAGCACGGTCTAGGCCCAGCACGAGGGGGAGAGACCCCGGCACAGGTTCAGGGCTTCATCCCCTCCTGCTGCCGGGTGCCCAGGCCAGGAGAGCACACGGGCACCCCTGGCTGTGACCCCAGCACGGGGGTCCGGTAGCGTGGGGTGGCCGAGCCCCCCGGCTCCCATAGCGAGAGCCTGGGCTGGGGGAGCCCCCGGGGTCGGGGCACGGTGGAGAAGCTGAGGGGGTCAGCGCTGAGGGACTTTGCTGAAGCCCCCGCAGCACCGACCTTGGCTCTCCCCTCTCTCCGAGGTTTTACAAGCAATAAGCCTCTCATCCGGCCGGGACTGTCCCCGCAGCCAGGAAAAGGGGCCGGAGCTGGGTGTCCCCAGTGGTGCCACCCTGGCCAGGGGGCGGTTTGGGGAGGGGGCAGTCACCTCCTCAATCCCAAACCCCCTCCCCACAAGGTCTGCAGGGAGCCTGGGATCTAAACTGGAAGCAGGGGGATTCTACAGGGGCTCAAAGTCCTCCTGGGGGACCCCAGAATGGCAGCCCAAGGGTTTTGGGGGGAAGGATCGGCCCTGGGGACCCCAAAAATACCCCCAGGAGGGGTGAGGGTGCCCGGTGCTGCCCCTGGTGCTGCCCCCCGGGCCAGGGGACAGGGTGAGAGCAGAGAGGGGCATCCCCAGCATGGGCTGTGGGTGACCCCCCGTGCCCCCCAGGAGCTCAAGGATATTTATTGAATTTTACAGAGGCGGCTGCTGCTCCGTACTGGGGGAGGCGGGGCGGGGAGGGGTGTTCAGTTTTTATTGGGTTTTTATTTGTGTTTCAAAGGATGGGTGAAAAAAAAAAGAGGAAAATAAAGAAACTGCCCCAGCCCAGCCCTGGCTGTGGCACCTGGGACTCGGCAGCAGGGGGGGGGACAGGCAGGGCCCCCCCAAACCCCCATTGCATGCGAGTAGAGGCCGGGTTGCCCCTTCCCTCTGTGCAGGCTCTGCCCAAAGCTCTCCCTCCATCACCTCTGCGTTTTTAAGTCTATAAACAAAGGAGAAAAACCAAAACCAACCGTGACATCTCTGAGCTCTTTTCTTACCTTTCTACCTGGGGGTGGGATGGTGGGGACTGGGGGGCTCCGGGCCTGGCATTGCCCCACAAGTGCAGGGTTTGCCTATGGGGCTGTGCCCTTCCAAAAGGAAAAGGAAAAGGAGGGGCTGGTCATACCCCTGACCCCGCCTGCTGCAGGAGGAAGGACATGAAACCCACCTGCTGTTTTCACTTTATTTTTCTTTAAAAAAAGAAAAAAAAAAAAAAAAAAGAAAAAGAAAAAAAAAGGGGGAAGAAAAGAAAAAAAAAAGCAGAAAAAAAAGCCAAGTGGCTGCCACCACCCTGATCCCTTTGGAGCTCAGATTCCTCCTAAGCTCTGAGCCCTTCCTGGGCCCTGTTCCCTTCTGAGCCCCTCCGAGCCCCCGTGCAGCATGCAGGTGTAATAGAGTTCTGCTTTGTTTTAATACCTGTTTTTTTTTGGTTTTTTTTCCTCATCTGGTTTATTTTAACACATCACGATGTGTAGGAATCTCTAAATATACCGCAAATATAAACAAAACAAAAAACAAACAAAATTAAAACAAAAAAAAAAAAAAGAGAGAGGAAAATATATAATATATAACAGTAGTCTAAAACATAAAGTGCACGGCAATGGCTTTGCACGACTCTACACGGCCAGGGGGCCCCTTGACCCCTCATCCCACCCTTCCCATCGCAAAATTAAAAACAGAATCAGTGTCTTGATTGGCAAAGAGTGATCGGGGGGAAGGGGGCAGCGTCCCGGCAGCCGCAGAGTTCAACTCCCAGGTGTCCGATGGGATGGGCAGGGAGGAGGTGTGGCCACTGCAGCTTCGTGTCCTGGCGCTGGCCGGAGCAGGGGGTGCGGGCAGGGAAGGAACGGAGGGGCTCCTTGGTTGGTTTCTTCTGGTTTCCTTTTGGATTGCAAGCACAGTCCAGTCCCAGGAGAGAGGCAGAGCTGGGGCAAGGAGGGGGACACAGGCTGGCCCGGGCCCAGGGATGCTGTGGGGAGAACAGAGAGAAGAGGGTTAGGGATGGAAGGGGTTGCACAATTTGGGGTGCTGGCTGTGCTCCTGTCCCGGGGCTCCCTCTGGCACCTTGGCATGGGAGCAAGGGGTTTGAGATCCCTGTGCTGTCCCTGGAAGGTTTTAGGGAGTCCCTCAGCCAGGTGAGCCCAGCAAAGCAAAACCCCTGACTAGGAATTGGTGCCAAGGAATGTAATTTATGCCAAGGAGAGGAGCAATCCCTTCCTTCAAAAGGTTTCTAGGCTAAGGAGGGGAGTGACCCAGCCAGGCTTGGGGCAGGAGCAGCAGCAGGTCCAGGGGAGCCCCATCCCAGGCTCAGGCTGCACTGACTCCCCGCAGGTGACTCACTGCCCCCATGAATTAAAGATGGAGCTGCCACGGGCCTCTGACAGCTGCAGGGGGAGGATCCGGTTTTTATTTCGGGCTTTTTTCACACCACAAAGCTGGTCGTGATCCAGGAGATAACAGAGCTCAGCCCCAGCAGCGCCGTGACGAGCATGAGGCCGGGGGCGGATGAGGCTGAACATGACTCACTGCTGGCTCCGTTATGAATGAGGGGTGGGAAGGAGGGGACAGGGCTGGGAGCTGGGGAGGAAGGAGCTGCAAGGAGGGGGGGAAGCAGGGAGAGGGCTCAGCTTCCCCTGAAGTGGCTTGGGCATGGGTGACAGGGCCAGGGGTACATCCCATGGGGACACTGTGGGGCTCAGCATCCCTCTGTGCTCCCCAAGTGCAGGTAGGTGATGGTGAGGCTGGGAGCAGAGCAGAGGGGCCCTGGTGCCAAGGAAAGGGGCTCAGCATCCCACTGTGCTCCCCAAGTGCAGGTAGGTGATGATGAGGCTGGGAGCAGGGCAGAGGTGCCAGGGAAAGGGGGTGGCATAGCACAGCCCAGGAGGGGACAGAGATCACTACAGCACCTCTCACATGACAGGGCAGACTAGAGCAGAGCCAGGTGGGCACAGCAGGGCATTGAGAGGGTCTCTGCACCCCCAGCACCACAGGAAACCCAAGCCTTGGCTACCAGAGACTCTGCAGAAGGACACTCAGGATTTCTTTCAGAATCCAGACTACAAAACACCCTCACCTTCCTCGCCATGCCCACAGCTCAGAAACCCCCCAGCTCCCTCGGGCAGAGCCCAGAGTGCCCCAGCAGTACCTGGGCAGAGCTCACTGCTGCTTGCAGGTGGAGAGCTTGCGGATCTTGCTGCTGGCAGAGCAGGCCTTGCGGGAGGGGTTGGAGGAGGCGCTGGCGCGGCGCTCGCCCTTGGCCCTGGCGCTGCTCAGCTGCCCCGGCTCCGTCCCGTTCATGCACACGGCCTTGGGCAGCCCCCTGCCGCGGCTCTGCCCGTTCTGCCCGGCCTCCTCCTCCTCAGGCACCTGTCCTGCAAGGGAACGGCCACAGTCAGAGGGGGCAGCAGAGCCGCCATGGATCCTGCTCCTGTTCCTGCGAGGGGCGCAGGAGAGGGATCCCCAACCCGGGATGTGCAAAGCCGGGTGTTGGGGAAGGTGAAACAGGAAAGCCTTATAAATATGATTGCCTGGCAAAAGATTTTGAGAATATGGAAACTGTAAGTGAGATTGAAATGAAAGCAAGCTCTGAGATCCCTCAGTTACTGAACAACGGGAAAATAATGGCGTGGCTGAAGGCAACCCCCTTTTGATGGAACACCCTCTGCTTGCAGACAGCTCCAAGGGTCAGAGCAGACCCTGCCAGCTTGGCAGAAGGAGCCCAAAGAGGAGTTTTTTGGGTTTAAAATGTAACACAGTATGGTAATGTAATGATTCTTATAGGCAGTATGCAAATGCTATAGAATTTGTATATTGTACTAGATTGGTTAGTGAGAATTAGAATATTCAATACAGAAGAAGATTTATTGTATTGTAATGGGAACCTCACTCTCTTACCCCTTTTACTCTCTACCCCTCTCTCCTCTCAGGCTGCTCTGAGCTGTGGCTGCAGCTCCCAGCAGGGCCCTGCACCCAGGCCCTTTGCAATAAACCCCAAATTCCACGACCTGGCTTCAGAGATCTCAGGTCTCCGTCCATCCCCACCATCCTACCCCCAACACTCCTACAGCTGGGAGCCTGACACTGCCCCTGTGCCCTGCCCCAGAGCTCAGGCAGCAGCCCAGCTCCTCTGGGGAGCAGAGGGGCAGCAATGGATGAGGTCACCCCTCTTTCCTCCTGCCTTCTGTGCAGGTCCCAGCCCCAGGTACCAACCTGGGGGCACCCAGGGGCTGGGTGTGTTTTCAGCCTCTCCTGGCAGGGGTTCAGTGTGTCACCGTCCCCTGAGGGAACACCCCATGGGTGCCATCAGCCCTTGTCCCTCCTCAGCTCCGTGTGACTCAGCAGAGCAGGTGAAGAGCCATTTCCAGAGGCATCTCCTGCTGCCACAGCCGGGGTTTGGGGCACATCCCTTCGCTCAGGGAGTGACACGGGGATGGGGCTGCATCCCAGGGCGGGATGAACAGGAGCAGGGAGCAGCCCCCAGCCCAGCACAGGCTGAGGAGAGGCTTTGTCAGGCCCCTGGCTCCCCCCACACCGGATCCAGCCGAGGCAATTTCCTTCCAGCAGGAACGTCACGCTCCAGGGCCCTTCAGTTATGACTCAGAGGTTTGAGTGGAAGCAAAGGCTGTAAGACGATTATGTATAATTTTCTTTAAAGGATGCTCAATCCTTTCTCTGCCAAGGCTGGGCAGGACGTCAGCTCCGCTTGCGCCAACCATCACCCCACTGCTGGCACCTGGGGGGGCACAGGGCTGCTGGGAGAGCTGCTGCTCCTCTGGGGAACACATTGGGGGTCCCACCTTGTACCCCTGTGCCTTGCCACTGCCAGAGATGGGGAGGGATGGGTGTATCCTGGGTTACACATACAATTATTTCCTCCTGGATCTCCCCCTGTACCCTCCCAGTGTTGCCACAGCTCCCAGTCACTGCCTTGGGGCTGCTTACCTGAGCACTCCTGCCATGAAAACAGACAGGGAGTGCCTGACCAGGGACAGCTCCAGGGGGCTGGCAGCCAACCCTGGCACTGCTGGAGCTGGTGGCACCTGCAGTGGCACCACAGCTCCTGGCCCAGCCCACAAGGGAGTGCAGTGATGAGGGTGCTCTGGCGCCCAGTGCCTCTGGCACTCAGGCAGTGACTGGCACAGCAGGAGGATCAGGAGCACAAAGCTCATGGATTCCTCCAGTGCCTGACCCCTCTGGAGCCCAGAGGAACCACCAGCAACCAGCTGATGGCTGGAAAGGGTTCAGGAGTCCAAGTTCTAGAAGAGAAACATGGCACCAGAGTCTCCAGGCATGGGGCTCCCGTGGGTCAGGCTGCAGCACCCCAGAGCTCCAGGCTTTTCATGCCATCCCTCCATCCCACCAGCACAACTGCAGAGCCTCAAACAACCCCATTCAGAGCAAAGCTGAGCACTTCTCCTTCCCCTCCCTCGGCTGAACTCGGGCCAAGTCAATTAACATTTCTGACTGGGGAGGGAAAAAGAATCTATCCAAACAGCTCACTTGTCTTTTGTGTGACTCTTCCCTCCTCCCCTCCTTCCCCTGCTTCAAAAGCACAGTCCCGGGAGTCTATTATGGATATCACGGAGGGAGGTGAATCGTGAGCTAATTTTACCTCCTTCACCAATGACAGTTGCTGACGTTCAAATTAATGAAAATAAAAATTCAGCACGGGCTGAAGTCTTGGCAACTGCTGCCCCCGCGGAACCGCTGACCCAGCGCTGTGTCTGCCCGAGCAGCTCCTGCCCACCTCACCCTCACCACCAGCAGGGCTAAAAATAATATAAATAAAGGCAGAGCTGAGAGAGGAACCAGCAACCGTGGCTGCTCATCCCTGCCACCCCTCACATTCTTAATGGCTCCGCATCCAGCTCATTCAGGCACCAAAAAAGGTTTCAAAATAACACAGCAAAGAGGCTTTGAATTGCTGTTTGTCAGACTGAGCACACAGGCACGGTGAGCAGCCAGGAATGCAGCTTCCTGAGCACCAGGCTTGGCTCAGAAGCTCCAGTCCTGGCTGTGTTTTCCAGCCTCAGACTGAAAAACCCAGGAGGAGCAGGTGCTGCAGGATGGGGCTGCAGCAGACGAGGGGTTAATGTAGGACAGGAAAGAGCAGAGCTCAGCCTCAAGACCTGAGGCAGCACAAAAGCACCAAGCAAGACCAGGATGACCACATCCCTTCACTGCACAAGATGGGGAGAGGATTGTGCCTCCAGGCCACAGCCATCCTCTCCTCCATCCTCTCTGGATGGGATGTTTAACACCGATTGAACCAAGGGCTTGGAACATTTACATCTCCCCACAGAGCTGCATGAATCTTTAAATAACCCTTTAAAAATGAAAGCACTTCCTCAAAGCCCCTTCTTCCTCTGAAGAACACAGGATTTAATGAGGTTTCCTCTTTCCCCCCTCCCTCTCAAACCCAACAGCCACCCCCAACCATGAGTCACTCACACTCCTGCTCTGGCTGCCCAGCAGAGCCACAGCTGAACTCATCCCCCATGTACACGGGGGCTTTTCATTTATATTTTAATATGGGATCACTGGGCAGGTTCAAAGGGATGCTGCAGGAAGATTTTGGTGGAAAAATTCACATTTATTCCCTCTGCAGCTGCCCCCACCTCTGCAATGCCTCACAAACCCACCGAGGGTCTGTGCTGGGACCCTCCTCACCCTGCTCCTCCCATGAGTGTTGAGGGGATTCCTGCCCACCACAAACTCTGCACATCCCACCTCAGCAGCCCCTCTCACCCTTTAGATCTCTAATTCCTCTGAAACAGCACAAGTTACATAGAGAACATGGAAGATCTGCCTGTCATCTGCCATGACAGCTCTGATCTGGGTTTAAACGCTGCTGTTTGTATGAGGAGGGTGAAATTCCTGGCGTCAGTGTGATCCCTAACCTCAGATACCTGCCTGCATGGGGCTCACCCTGCTCAGCTGGGATGGACATGGAGCTGGGGAAGGCAAGGACCAGGCTGGGACCAGGGGATCCCCCAGGTGTGCCACATACCCTGAAGGCAGAGTCATTTCAGGGCTCTGCTCACAAATAACTCATTCTAGCAAAATTGGTCCAAAGAATTAACTGTGCTGAACAGCAGAGCCCAGCAGCTGCTGTTCCTGGGAGATGGGAGGAAGCTGGCACAGGGGTAAAACTGGGATGGGCATCCTGATTGATCAAATCAAGGACTGAGGAATCTGGAGTATCATGGCTCACTCACACCATTCCACAACCAAGAATCTCCTCTGCTGAAAGGATCATTCACACCTCAAGGCCTTTCCTTAAAAAAGCTTTAAACCCCCCGAAAAATCCCCCACAACCACTTCTCCCCTACCTGGTACTGTGAAGTCCTGAGTGTAGATGATATCATCTTCAATGTCATACAAGTCATCATCCTCTTCCTCATTGTAGCCATGCAGATCCTCCAGGTAAGGCACCGCCGTCATGCTCCTCCACCTGTCCTTTGTCTCAGGGCTGGGAGGGATGGGCACCAGCGCCTCTGCCTGAGCATGTTTCTTCCTAAACCAGCTGCAGAGAGCCCGAGGGCAGAGCTGGGTCAGTGCACAAGGCATGCAGGAGTCCTCCAGTGAGGGTGGCCCCAGCCCACCTGGATATTCAGAGCTGGGAGCTCCACCCGTGCCAGGTAAGGAGAAAACAAAAGGTCTGGGCAGGTGTCAGGATTGGGACACACTGGGATAGGACAGAACAGAGGGACAGGCACAAAGGGAAGCTCAGGACCATTCTCTCCATCACCAACTCCAGCCCAAACTACCTGTGAGTTAAAACAAACCAGCAGAGTTGCCAGAGCTCCTGAGTTTTGTAATCCAAGCAAGCAGGACAGAAGGAACTTCCCCTGTCCTGAAGCTGAGGCTGATCCAGCCCAACAGACACAAATTTAAAGATCTCAGCCTGAGAGGGGCACTTACTGCAGCAGTTTCCTCTAAAAGCCAGTTTGCACCAAGGCCACAGCAGAAATGTGAATACTTTATCTTTTTATCCCCCCCTGTCTCAAGGGACTCCTATCACCACCAAACCCTGTGCTGCCATCTGGCCAGGAAAGGATATCTGAAAGCTGTTCCTAATCAGATCAGGAATCCAGCAGGCTGCTTCCAGCAGCATCCCAGAGCCAGATGGGATAAACCTCTTAGGTTTTCATCGTGCTCCCATAGCAGAGCTCTGACTCCAGACTGTCTGGGACATCTCCCAGCGCTGCATGTGGGCACCCAAAGTTTCCTGGAAGGCTGCTGGAGCCTTCCACACTCCCAATGACCCCCTAGATGTGGGTGGGAGCAGAAGTTCCTCCAGCCTCAGGTACCTCTAACACAACTTTGCAGCCCACATGAGCCTGATGGGACACAAATGCTTCCCACCCTGCAGTTGGCATCCTGTAAACTCCTGGCCTCCAAGCACGGAGGAGGGCCTGAGCCAGCCCAACAACTCTCACCAACCTGAGCCATCTGGTTTTTATCACCCCAGTTCCAAATTCCTTTCAGGAAGGAAGGCTGAAGGCACCTCCTGCGCAGAGCTGTAATTATCATTTCGTTCTAAGTCTTACACTGCTTTGACAGCCGGCCTAAAAAAAAAGTGGGATTCTAACAAAACTATCAGGGAAAGGAGAGGAGTGAGGAGATAAACAAATGGAAATGCAGCTACTGGGACAAATCAGGCAGGATTCAAGGGAGGGGTGAATTCTCATCCAGAAACTGCTCCACCATTAGCATCTTAAAACTGTTTTTTCTCTGCAGCAATGGAGCTTTGCAGCCCTTGTTTGCAGGGAGGAAGGTGTTGTTCGGGAAGAGGGACATAAATTGCTTAAGATCTCATCTGGCAATTGTCACCTCCAGTCCCTGAAGGGGCACTATAGGAGTTAAAGCCCATCCCAGCTACTGGACAACAATTCTGACCCAGGGCCCTTCCCAGATCCATGGATGGCTTCCTTGGTGACATGCATGGCACACTGCTCTCCTAATGGGATCAATCCATTTCTCTTCTCTGGAGACTGTTCATTGAGGAAGAGGCTGCCAAGACAGCAAATCCAGCCTGGGCTGATCCAGCCTGGCAGGATCAGCAGCACAGAGCCAGAGGAACCACCAGCAACCAGCTGATTTAGCCAGAGGCACTGGGGCTTGAGGGATCCAAACTCCACACCAGAGACCTCAGGAGAAGGGAATATCCAGGACAAATGAGATCAGAGGGATGGCTGCTGAAAGGAGAATTTTAAAGGGAAAAAAAGCCTGGAAGTCTATGGCAACTGGTGTTTTTATTTTGCAGTATTTCAGCTCTGCCTCACTCTTCCCTCCTGTCCTACTTACCAGGAGAGTAAAAATAGGTTTTTATTAGCAGCAGAAACCTGAATCACTGTACTCCAGTCATTATGCTTCCATCCTCTGGGAGGTGATTTCAAACACTTGCATATGCATATATGGTAATGAGGATAGAGAGTGAAAAGAGAAATCCATTGAAGTTCTAAGAAAAATCAAAGACCTCTTGGAAGGAGCCTTGAGCAATTCTGTATGGAGTAGTGGAGTATTTGCTGGAAAGGATTTTCCAGCAGGGACAGACATTTTGCTTTTCTGTGCTGGTGCTGGAGGTTGCCACTGAAGATTTGCTCCTCAGCTGAGGACCACTGGCTTTTGGAACTGGAAACCAGTTCCAGAACTGGCCTGAGCCAGAAAGCAGCAGCTCCTGGTCAGTGATGGCCATGAGATAAAGCCTCTCCTCAACCCTGCCCTCACCACAACCCCAAACATGGGCTGGCTCAGAGCCCTGCTGATGAGCGTTCCACCAGTTATTCCCAGTTTCAGGGATGTTTTGTGCGCCAACTCCACTGGCACACTCACAGTTACCTGGTGCTTGTGGCAGCTGCTTTAACCTTGAGGGCAAAGAAAAGATTTTGGATCTCAGAATTGCCCCTTGTGCAGAACATCCCTCTGCAAGAAGCAGATTCCTCTCTGCTCTATGCTTCAAAGGGCTGGGAGTGGCTTAGAAATGCTTCAGAGTGAAGGCAGCAGTAGTAAGGGATTATTTCCTCCTATTCCACAAGCTCATTGAGGAGCCTGCAAAGCTCAGAAGCCCCAGGCAGCAGCAGCACAAGTGTTAATTGTGATCCTGCTAGGCAGAAGTGGCCAGACAGCTGCTATCAGCCACAGGGAGATAAGACACCAAGGGTCAAGGACTGAAGGAAAAAAACGAATCTGGGTTGCCCAGTGCTTAATGAGCCTGTTTAGTTTGCAGTTCCCAAGCTCAGATCTCCCATCACAAGTCCTCCCTCTGCTCTTTTCAAGTCCTGGTATAAGCAAGGTTAAAATAAGAATCTTGTAAGCACAGCTGCAGCTTTCCAACACTCCCAGCTATTCACTTCCCATTTGGGTCACAAACATTGCACTTGGCTTGGTTTGCACAGGGATGGCTTTCTCTGAGAGCAGATGCCAAGCTGCAGATCCCTGCCCTGCCAGCCAGGGTCAGGATGAGCAATTCTCCACCTCCTGTGATGCCATGTAAGGGCCTCGAGCTCCCTGGAAGGTCACTGTCACCACAAGCAGCAATGAACAGGGCTCCAGTTTAGCTCAGCTCCCTCACAGGCAATTGTGGAAGGCACACAATGTCCCAGGGAAAGGCAACACACATACACACAGCAGTGTTCCTGCAATCACATTTCCTCACATAAATTCCCTGCCCTACAATCCCCATCCCAGGAGCACCAAAATTTTTGAGATATATATATAATCTTGCTGGATCAAGAGATGTCCAAGCTCTTCAGTCAGGTTCAGAGCAAACAAAAGTATGAAAACAGCAGCTCCTCCCAGCTGAGAGCAGCACCAAAGGTAACAGAGATCTGGATCAAGAGATGTCCAAGCTCTTCAGTCAGGTTCAGAACAAACAAAAATATGAAAACAGCAGCTCCTCCCAGATGAGAGCAGCACCAAAGGTAGCAGAGATGGCTCAGATTCATGCAAGAAGTTCTGGAGATTCAGTACTTTAACACACCACGTTACAAAACTGATTTGCAGAAGGTGGGTAAAAGAAGGAAACATCCCTTCCATGAAAATTGAGCCAGGTGCCTCAGGAAGGAAGAGGAATGCTTCTTTGTGTCCTGGCACTCCAGAGAAGGGATGGGGAAAGCTCACAAGTGCACAGGCAGCAGCAGAGGCTCAGAGAAGCCTCTCTCCCTCCCTCCAACACAGCCCAGCAGCACAGTCAGCCCCTGCAAAGGAGCCCTCAGCAGCACCACAGGGATTTCCAAGGGGTTTAGCACCCAGGTTTGAACAGCACAGCATCCCAGAGCCCACAGCAGCTCCAGGAGGAGAGCCCAGCCTGCAGTGAGGTTAATTTGCACCTCCACTAACAAAAAAGTGGAAGTGCCTCCCCTCTCGTGCTCTGAACTCCTGCAATGGGATCTGCGCCTGAACAAATTAAGTGTGACACTCGTAGAGAGGGAAGGGAAGATGGTTGCCTTGGAAACAAGGGACAGAGGTAGAATTCTGCATCCACTTCATCACTTGAAGTGCTGCAGCAGGTCAGTGAGTTAGTAACAAAATGCAGTGTGTGAGCAGGAAGTCCTTCAGCAAAAGCACAGGGCAGAGGGGAGGTGGTGGATGATCCACAGGGAGGAGGTTGGAACTCCTGAGATCTTGGCAGCTTTTCCTCCCTGCCCTACAATCCCCATCCCAGGAGCACCAAATATTCATAGAGCTGAGCTATGAGCACTGGTTTTCCACTGAACATCATTCCACTCTGATCATTCCAGGGAAAGCAGGTTTTCAGGCTCTTCCACTGCTGCTTCAGGGGCTGGTTTCTGGCAGTTCCTAAATTCTGAGATGACAGGCTGGGAGAAGTTGAACTCATTTCCATTTCCAGCTCCAGGTCTGCTCTGCACGGACTGGGATGAACAGAGCAGCATTTTGCTTTGTCCCACTCCAGTAAAAGTGCAGAGACAGGAGTTTGATGCAGTTCAGCTGCAGGAGTGCGGAGGGAGGAAAGCAGCTGGCAGGGATGAAACTCAGCAGACTCTTCCTCCAGCATTCCTCTGCTGCTGCAGGGGCAAAAGCATTTGGAATAGCTGACAGGAATGATGGGAGGAATGGCTGGATTACCATTGCTGGGCTGCCTGGATGCCTTCCCTGCAATGGGAATGCTCCCTTGGTGCTTTCTCAGTGCCTCTGATTTTATCCCTGATCCCACTGCAAGGGCCTTCACACTTGATGGAAGTGGGGAAGGATGGATGCTGGGACACTCACACAAGCTCTGTGATGCTTCCCTTGGGACCACTGTCCCTTCCCACCATCCTGACACCAGCCTGAGTGCAAAACCCCTGCCTGGGGCCCAGGGGCTGCTCCTGCTGCTTTCAGAGCACTTTGATGATCCTTCACTGTCCATATGAGTGAATCCCCAGGAACAGCAGCTCAAAGACATAAAAGGAGACTTCCAGCAGCATAGAAAGGCACGGGGTGATTCTGGTTTGAGATGGGATCCAGCCCAGCAGGGCAGCCTGGGGAAGTTGCTTGATGTTTTTCTGGTTTAGTTCCTGTCCTTAGCACATGCTTTTGCAGGGTGGAGTGCAGAGAAACCCACAATCATTAATGATTTAGTCACCCCAATAGATGAAATCTAAGGGTTCTAGAAATCAAATGTCTTCTTACTAAAGTGCTTTCCCAATCCCTGAATGGCTGCCTGCTGTCCTGACTGCTGTGTTCCATTTACAAAAAAAAAAAAAAAAAACAGGGTCAGGTTAAGCATCAGGGCTAAGCTTCTATTTAAAGAAAAGGCAGGAGAACCAAGCTCTGGATTCTTTAGCACAAAAAGAAGCTAGACAGACACATCCAGGGCCCAGGCCACAAGCTCTGCTGTGCTTGATGTAATTACTAGATGCCACAGCAGGAGGAAGGAGGCAATTACCAATAGGGGAGAAAAGCCTGTTAAAAAGCACTGGCTAAGCTCACACAAAACTACTAAGAGCCTAAGCCTTAGAAATGCTCCTGGTTTGCAGGTAGAGCCTTTCCTCAGCCCCTCTTGGTGCTGTGGGATGAAAAACCTCAGCACAGCAGCTGAGGAGCTCGGTGGCTGCCCTGTGCTCCAGTTTCTTCAGCTTTCTAACTACAGGCAGCATCTCTGGAGACCCCTCTGTGCTGCCAGCTGGGCAACACTGACACCAAAAAATCACTGCCACGTGGGAGGAGGGCAAAATGGAGAATCTGGAATTGGGGAAGCAGCTCAATCACCTGGCAGTGACCCACGAGGGCCCAGGGCAGCTCCTGAGCTCAGGGGTGGCCACTGCAGCCACAGGAAGGGAAGTGCTTTTAGTGCTTTTCTCAACACCTACTGATGACTCCACAGATTAATTCCTGCTTCTTTGCAGCGCTTCCTGACAAAGCAAGGCAAGCTGGTGCCCTCTGGTCATGGCCACTGGTGCTGGGAGGGAAAGGCAGCATTGAATGGGAGATGCCTGTGCCCAGAGCACCTGAAACAACCCAGGCATGGGGCTTGGCTACTACAAAAGAGTCCTTACAATTAATTAATCACCTGGGAAGCTCCATAAGCCTTGCCTCCCCAGCTCTGCTTGCACCCTGGTCCTTTCCAATCCCTGCTGGAGCTGGTTCCATTTGCTCCCTGTGGAACCCCAGAGCATTTCAGGCCTGGCTGTGGCTCCTTGGGCACCATCACCTGACAGCACATTGCTTTTCCAAAGAGGAAAGCAGCGCTGTTCCTGCAGCATGGAGTGGGCTCAGCACCACCCTGGATCACATCCTTGCTTTTACAGCTCCCAAAAGCATCAGGGAAGGCTCAGGGGCCAAGCAGCTGCAGTCCAGAGGCAGCTCTGCCTGTCCTCAGAAGCACTTCCCATTCCAAGAGCAGATAAGCTAATGCAGCCTCCACAGTGAGGCAGCCTCATGATGCTTTTTGTTCTTGTACTTTTATCCGCCCAGGAAATCTCTGCTCAGAGCCTGCATGTTCAAACAGATCCTTAAAAAAACCCCTCAGTGATAACGGGGCATTTCCCCCCCTGACTATGGCACGGAAAATGGGGGAGGATATGGGGGAGGGAGGACTGTGATATTAAAGAGAAAGAAAAAAAAAAAAATTTCCTATTGTCCTGGAACGCTTTTCCACATGCTGACTCCATATGGAGCAAATACCAGGGGATATTTCTGTCCCCAGACTGGCCAGAACTAACACACATTACTGAACAGTCCTACTATAATAACACAGCCTTCAGGACCTCCTGTTCTGCTCCATTAGGACTTGCTGGCCCTCTGGAAAAAATTATCCAGAACCCTTAATTATCCAGAAGCAGGCATGCCACAAACAGACTTCCAACATATTCCTTATTTACTGCTTAGCAATTCCAGTGCTCCACCGGATGCTCTAATAGGAGGAAAAAAGCCAAGTGGAGCTTGCCAGAGCCCCAGCAGAGCTGGAGGAAGGAGATGTAGTGACTTGCATGTGTCTGCTGTCAAAAGGAAAACAGAAAGTGAGAGCAGGAGCACAGGTAGAGGAGGAGCAGGAAGAGAACACTCACTTGTGCTGCCTTATCTGCTGTATTGAGAACCTCTTGGCTGGGTCGTATTCAAGCATTCCTGAAAAGAAGAAAAAAAGTCCAGGTGTGATCACAGACACACTCTCAGTTGAGTCAAAGCCAGCACAAAGCTCTGCTCTCCCCTCCCTGACAGCCCTGCTGTGCCCAGTCCTGGCAGGATTTGCTCCACCAGCCACAGGAAACTCAGCATTAAAACCCAATCCCATTGCTGACCTGTTCCAGTCTGTCCCACCTGCAGGTACAGCCCATCCCTCCCTCCCAGGGCAGGGACTGAGGCTTGTCCAGCCCTCAATCACAGCTCCAATCAAGATTTTTGCATTTCAGAGAGAATTCCATTGAACCTCCTCCATGGAAGAGCCAAACCCCCAGGCACAGCATATGTCCACAGTGTCCCAGATCCTCTGGTCTAGTGGAATTCTATTCTGAGATACAGCAGGGGAGAACCAACAACAACAACAACAAAAAAATCATCCTGATGCCCATTCCTGTGCCCTGGCCAGGAATTGGATTTCTGGGAGCATCTGCTGATCATCATCACTAGACCAATTCCTCTGGTCTAGTGGAATTCTATTCTGAGATACAGCAGGGGAGAACCAACAACAACAACAACAACAAAATCATCCTGATGCCCATCCCTGTGCCCTGGCCAGGAATTGGATCTCTGAGATCATCTGCTGAGGTAGCTGGGGTGGGTGGTGAGCAGAGCAGGGACAGGAAAAGCAGCTCATGCGTATTCTCTCTGGGAGAAAGGGAGGTGGATTCCTTAAACAGCCTCCTGGGATGCCCACTCTGCTCCACTGCCTTTCAGAAGCTTCACAACTCAACAGAAGGGAAGGAGAAAATGTTGTCATGTATCTTCAGAAATGAGCCCATGGAACCCTGAGAGTTTCATCCAGCAGCATCCAAGATATTCTCCAGTGAAGGTTCCAGGAATATATTCACCTCCTGAACATTAACAAAGCCCCATGGCTGAACACTACAAGGAGTTTTGCTTTTACTGGGTGATCTGTTGCTCCTGAAGCACTGTGAAATCCTGAATAGGTTGCATGAAGAATGAGGGTTTGGAGATGGGTTGGAACAGGAGGAACCCATCACCAGCAACAGGAAAAGTTTGGGAAGCAGCACTCACTGTCAAACAGGAATTCAGAAAGTCAGGACAGGAGCAAAGAGTGCAGAGTGCTGAGGAGAGCCAGGACAAGGACACACTGAGAACACAAAGGTGGGGGATAACTGGGTGGACATTTGGGAAGCAAGGGCTGGAAAGACATATCCTAGTACAAGCAGGGAGCTGCAAGGGCCCTGGAGGTGAGAACCTACAATTCAAAGGTCATGGAAGAGATAAATCACCACAGCACATATGTGATACCAAAAACTGCTCCAGAACATCTTCCCTGTCACTCTGCTCATATCACATCAGATCAGGGCTTGAGCAAAGAGGGGGGATAGGACAGTATAGTGAGGAAACAGTGAAGTTATTTCACCCCCAGAACCCAAAACACACTTTGCCCTGGCAATTTGGGAAGGTTTATCCATGGTAGTGACAGCATTAAGAGCTTTAAGGCAGATGGGATCACTGCTGATCCACATGACATCACATGAAGGAAGTTAAAGCAATCCAGGAAGAGCTCTCCAGGTCACAGGGCAGAGCCCAATTCCTCACAGTTTTGGATTATTTGGACTGGGTTTTGAGGGTGGAAACTCTACAAAACCCACCCCTGCCCTCCCCACAAGTGCAACCTGTTCCAGAGCTCAACCCTGGCAGCAAAGGAGTTTTCTCACGTTCAGATGGAATTTCTCCTCACATTACAGAAAAAGAAAGAAGTTCAGAGGAAAAAAAAACCCATCCCACACCTAATTAAAGAACCTATTAATAAGATGATCAGACAGTTTCACAGCTGAGCTTCCCAAATGAGTTGGCTTTTTTTTTCTTTTTAAGAAATAGGGCTGCAAAGAGCTCTCACATGAAGATTAGGGGACAAATATTGGTTAGGTTCTCTTATTCATGTTATAAGAAACAGGAAGTCAGGACACCACCCACTCCCCCCACTGATTTATTTAAAAACCACACTTCAAGGTGTTTTTGAAACTGAAGGCATTTACCAGATGAAACTGGTACAAGCAGGAGAAGAAGCTGAAGGTAAATCATTAAAAGAGCAGAAGTCACAAACAACCACAGCACAGGGAGCTGTTGCTCTGAAGCCATTAAAAAGGCAGAAGGAAAATAACCGAGCAAAAGGAATTTTTAATTCAATGAAAAATGACCACATTTGGGGCAACATCTGAAAGAAAAGCGTCCTCACTGAAAATGTACATTCATACATTCAGCTCTGAGTCACTGGTGGCAGCTCTGTGGCTCAAGTCCTGCACTGAGGAGAGGCTTCAGCAAGACAAAACATCATGTTCTATTCACCAGGCAAGTCATCCTGGAGCGCCCGCCCGCAGCCGCTCGCGGCCATTTAGGGTAAAGACTTCCCTGGAGTTTATCTGCGAGCAGGGATGGGACAGCCTGTGCCAGGGAATGCTTCAGGAGGCCCAACTCTGAGCTCTGCTCCCCAGAATTCCCAGAGGATTTGCTGTGTGCACACAGGGGGGGCCACAGAATCACTGAGTTCAACAAATTGGCTGATCCCCAATTTGTCACGCTGAGGGTTGTGTCCAGGTGTTCTTTGGAGACCTCCAGGGATGGGGGATCCAAACCTCACTGTGTGCCTGACAACCCTTTCCATGAGGAAATCATTCCTAAAATATGAAATCCCCTCATTGAGAATTATCAGGTATTAAACTGATAAGAACAGACAGCACACAGCTATGCCCACACAGGGGTATGGTGTCCTCTGCAGCACATCACCAGTTTCAAAATCCTTGCAAATCACAAGTGACAACCCAGAAATTTGAGATCATGGATCTGCCCTGAGCTCCTCACAAGCCCCAGCCCAACCCAGAAATTGGAGATCATGGATCTGCCCTGAGCTCCCCACAACCCCCTCATCACGCTCAGTGATCCTGGACAGGCACAGCTCCAGGGCAGAATTCCTGGAGCTCAGAACACAGGGCAGTCTCAGGTGTGGGACTGTTGAGGCAGGAAGAAATCCAACAGCAAAATTAACAGGCTCAACCTGGATTGCATTTCAGTCTCCAACTTGGATCAATATTTAACAAGCACTGTAAAAGCAGCGTGAGGCCAATCTGTAAAGGAGGCAGGACCTTCTCCCTCTCCCTGCACTCAGCTGGCTGCTCTGGTCACAAACTCCCTCTGCAGGCAAATCTTGAGCCTGTGATCTAGGCCAGGCCTCTGGAAGGGCACACACAGCCCTGGGGACCCCTGCCACAGCAGAATTAAAGCATCCCACTGTCACCAGGATGCATCCTCTCACTGTCCCAGCAAGGGAAGGTCGTGGAAGTGACAAAACAAACTGCTGAGGATCCAGCCATCATGTCCCAGGTCTCAGGGCCTGGAAATCAATCCAGATGCTGATTAATGCAGAGCTGCAGCCTCAAAACTTCCTCTTCCAATAAAAGTCTATTAGCCCAGGAGGAGGAAAGCTGACCTTGTGCATTTTTCTGGTCCAGAAGCAAAGTGCACAGGAGTTGATAAGCCACGGGCAGATGCTGCCAGAAGAACCTTAAGACTATTTATAAACCCTTGTGCCCTGACACATCTCTCCTGACTGCACACACAAAACAGCACCAGCCCTTCTTTCCATCCCTGAAGAGTACAAATAAAGCTTCATCCCTGATTAGGGAGACAAAATGAGGAGCAGCATCCCAACTAATCTGGAGGATATACTGTCATGCGAGTCTCTTTACAAGCTAAATACCACTGAAGCTTTAAGTCCTCTAAACTCTGCTGTTCTGCAAAAAGGGAACAAAGATAAGAACAAGCTCAAGGGGAAGAAAAAGTAAAGACACACTACAAAAGTAGTCAACAGAAGAACAAAAAAACCTTACAAAGTGTGTTTGTGTTTGCTTCATAGCCTGGCTGTGGTGCCTGTGGTCAGCACAGCCCTGGCAGACAGAGGAAATGAGCACTTTGCTGCACTGAATTCTGCCTCACTCAAACCCAGACCAGGCACTGTGAGGGCTTTTAGAGCCTTTCAAATCAACACAAAGATGAGACAAAAGCATCAGAGCGACAGAGCTGAGCTGGGGGGTGTCTGTGCTGCTCACACAAACACAGCCACCCACAGTATCTGATCCACAGGCAATGGATTCAGCTCCAGCCTGCTGCAGGAGGAGCAGGCACCCACCAGGAAATGCAGATGTTCTGGAGGAAAAGCAGGAACTAAATAAAGCATCCAGGTTTGTCACCATAGCTACGTGGTGCCACGGCTGCACAGCTCAGCCCTGGGCTTCAGCAGATGCTGGGGAGCTGCTCAGGCCTCCAGAGCAGGCAGAGCTGGGGCAATCCCACCCCACAATTCATCCCTCTCGAGGCCACCTGGCATGCTGACCATTGGAAAATGTGCAAGCAAGGGGAATATCAGAAGGTTATGCCAGCTTTTGCAATGAAGCAGCTTGTACACAGCAAAATGAGGGGGAGAAGACTATTCTCAGGTGGGAGAGAGGACAGGAAAAGGGATCCTTAGGGCTTCCCACTGCCCTGAAAGAAAGGGGTCTGGTCACCTCCTCCCAGACAAGCTCCTCTCCTTGCCAAACCCACTCTGTGGTGCACAAGCACAGAAAGGATGCAGATAGATAAACAAACTGACAGCAGTGAGGATGCAGAAGGAGACTTAGGCTGTAAGAGATGGACAAAGGGCACCACATTCAAGGCTCTGCCATGTAAAATCAGGCAGAGGGAAGAGTAGGTAATTCTGGCTCCAGCTCTCACGCAGGGGTGGGAAGAGAACTAGGAGGGGAGTTATTGTGCTAATGAAGCACAAGATTTTAAGCTGTCGATACCCTCAGCAGAGGAAAAGAGAAAACTGCCACGCTCCTTTTCCCTGGGGGAAGCACTAAGTGCAGCTGAGAGGCTGATCACAAACCTCCAAGGAGTTCTGCTGGATGCTTTAGGAGAAATGCTGCCGGACCAACAGGACTGCAGGGTTTGCTGCATTTGGGCAATTCCCAGCTGATTAAAATGCCACATTTGGAGTCAGCAGTGACAAGCCAAATGCCACAGAGAGCTCAGGCCACTGTTCCCCGGGGCTGGCAGGTACAATGTGAGGCACATCAGGCCACGAGCAGCCACTGTGTCAGGCTCAGGCAGATCCCGGCTGTGCCGAGCGCCATTGGAAGCGCTGCCTTATGTAACGCCTTCGGAGAGCTGCTAAAGCTGGCTAATGCTTTTGGAAACACATGGAAATAACTGATTTCATCATTGGCACGGAGCCAGGCAAGCTAAAATAACCTCCGAGGGGGGCTGCGGGGGTCTGGCAGCTCCGCGGTGCCGAGGGGCCGGGGGAGCCCCGGTGGCGGCAGCGGAAGAGCTCGGACTGACAGCACCACCTGCCGCCAGCACGGCCGGCACCGAGCCAGCAGCTGGGGCTGTGCAACGAGCCCGGGGCCTGAACCGAGCCTGGGCCACTGCACCGAGCCTGGGGACCTGCACCGAGCCTGGGGACCTGCACCGAGCCAGCAGCTGGGGCCGTGCAACGAGCCCGGGGCCTGAACCGAGCCTGGGGCACTGCACCGAGCCTGGGGACCTGCACCGAGCCCGGGGACCTGCACCGAGCCTGGGGCACTGCACCGAGCCTGGGGACCTGCAGCGAGCCAGGAGCTGGGGCTGTGCAACGAGCCCGGGGCCTGAACCGAGCCTGGGGCACTGCACCGAGCCCGGGGACCTGCACCGAGCCAGCAGCTGGGGCCGTGCAACGAGCCCGGGGCTCTGCACCGAGCCTGGAGATGGGGCCTGAACCGAGCCAGGAGCTGGGGCCATGCACTGAACCTGGGGCCCTGAACACAGCCAGGGGACCTGAACCGAGCCTGGGGACCTGAACCCAGCCAGGAGCTGGGGCTCTGCACTGAGCCCAGGGCCCTGAACTGAGCCTGGGGACCGGCACTGAGCCCGGGGACCTGCACGGAGCCAGGAGCTGGGGCCCTGCACTGAGCCTGGGGACCCTGAACTGAGCCAGAAGCTGGGGCCCTGAACTGAGACCAGGGGAACTGAACCGAGCCAGGGGAACTGAACCCAGCCCCGGGTTACCTGCACCCAGCCAGGAGCTGAGGCCCTGCACCAAGCCAGGGGACCTGAACTGAGTCAGGAGCTGGGGACCTGCACTGAGCCTGAGGACCTGCACTGAGCCTGAGGACCTGCACCCAGCCCTGGGGGACCTGCACCCAGCCCTGGGGGACCTGCACTGGGTCAGGAGCTCTGCACTGAGCCAGGGGACCTGCACCAAGCCGCCAGGAACCTGAACTGAGTCAGGAGCTGGGGACCTGCACCCAGCCCCGAGGGAACTGCAAACATCCTGAATCTGAGGGCTGACTGCTCACAAAGAGCTGAGGAGAAAGCAGAGGATGGGCCTGTGCTGAGGGCTGGGGAGCACAGCAGCACCCGGCTGTTCTGCTGGAGAGGAGGCACTGGGAATGCTGGTCAGGCTCTCCCACAGGTTGGAATTGCATCCCAGCTCCTGCCGAAGAGGCTCACCAGGCTGCACAGCACAACTGCTGCCCTGCCTGACTCAGCTTCCACAGGTAGAGACTCTTCAGCACTAAACATCAAGCTGCTGAAATAAGTGATGGGAATAAAAAAATAAAAAAAACCCCACGACTTTCTCCCCAGAAAGTGCCACTCTCCTGGTCCTCGTGGTCCTATCCCAGCCCTGCTGTGAAACTGGGCACTGCTCCAATATCCTGCAGCTCTGAATTTGGGGGGAAGGAAACAAATGGGACTTGAGACAAGTCCAGAGGTGAGGCTGATGAGGAGGGACAGCAGCCCTGAGTACTCAGTGTGTGACATTAGAGAAAGCCTGGACACAGCATCTGAGTGCTCTCTGTCCAAACCCGCATCAATGCCATTATGCCATTTTAAATTTAACCCCTTGTGGGCTTTGCCTTTAGATGTAAAAGCTTCTCAGAGCACAGGCAGCAATGCAAGAACCAACTCTATCCAGCAGTGGCTGTGAGCTGTGCAGGGCATTGGTGGATCTCAGGAAAACACCAGTGCTGGAGATCTGCCAGAGTCTTGTAAGGCTATAATATAACCTCCATGACTAAAAGGATCCCATATCCCCACAAGACACTTGGAAGGAAGCTCTGGCACTGTGCAAGCTGAGGAGTTGTTGCATCTATAAATGTTACCCCTTTTGGAACCAGCTGGGAAGACTCACCTCTCAATAAGTCTGAGAGTGGAGGACCACAATCCTCTGGAATTGTGTAGTCGCCTTTCCCGATGTTTTCAAATAATTTATAGATATTATCCCCTTCAAAAGGGTACAGACCCGTTGTGATGTTGTATCTGTGAAGGCAGAAGGAGAAGCAGGATGAGAAGCAGCCCACAGGTACTCAGTTTTTACCTGACTACATAAGCCAAAAGCAGCAAAGGGGAAACCAAAAGAGGAGTATTTGGCAGTATGTGCAAAACTTCTTTAAGTTTAGCCCGCCTTCATCACAGTCTGGGACAGCAAAAACTTAAAAATAAATACTGGAGATACTTGTGGCTTCTGTTACTGCCCTGGCTGTGCCTCTGGGAGCTGAGCAACAGCTGCAGAGTCACTCATGGAGAGCAAAGATCCCCTTGTGCAGAATTACAGATACTTTGGGGAGCATCAACCCACCCGCAGGAGTGAGCAGCACCCCCCTCACAAGAGCAGTGATGACAGAGCTGGGCCAGCACTGAGCTATCTGAGGGTGTCATTAATTGTGAAGTTCCTGGGCACTCACAGTGTCACCCCTGCAGACCAGATGTCGACTTTAAAGCCTGAAAAGGTGTCAAGGCCATTGGCAATTTCTGGGGGCTGGAATGCTGGCGACCCTTGGCTCGTCCTGCACGTGTCGTCCTCTGCAAACGGATGCAATGCCTGAGGCAGGAGAGACCAAACAGTGTCAGCCTTCCAAGGAAAACAAACTGTGACTCTTGGAAAAGTTCCACCTGGGAAACAAAAGGGGAAAACTCCTCTACTGAACATCTACAGGTGATAAGGTCATGCCACCACAGCAGCCACACGCCACAGTGACAATTCTTGCACCTCTCCTACCTAAGAGAGATTCCATATAAAAAGAAGGATAAGGTTATGCAGCTTATCCCCATTTCCCCCCACTTTTGGGCTCATCCACGATTGACATCTTCCTTCTCTCTGTGTTTCCTGAGCAGAGGTTTCATGCTGTTACCAAAAGAAGTGCTTTGCCAATTGCAATAAATATTCAGAGCCACTCAGAGCACTCTGCAAGTGCAACAGAACAAAAGCCTAAATGCACAATAAATCAATGACACCACAGAGGTGACCTCAATCTAGAATGTCCCATTCTGATTTTGCTGTGCTTCCCACATACCTCTGCTACTCCTAAATCAGATATTTTTAGTGTCCCATTGGTTGTTAGCAGGAGGTTCCCAGGTTTTATATCCTTGTGGACAATCCCTTGGCTGTGCAAGTACTCTAAGCCATCTATAAGCTGACAAAAGTACCTGCAGAGAGAGGGAGAGGGGAAAAATAAATCAAACAGTTTTAGCCAGTAGAAAGGAGCTTTTTGCTGTGGTCAGAGACTCTGGGGCATCATCGTAACCCACATGCAGCCTGGCAGTTGTAGAGGCAAGTGTTTCATCTCATAATACCCAGAAATAACATTAATGTGCCTGAATTTCACTTAGGCTGTCTGTAATCTCAGAGATCTCTTAAACTAAAATGACAATATGACTATAAAATGATGTAGTTGCCACAGATTTGCTGCTCTGCCCTGATTTGATCCTGACAATGTTTTTGTTATCTATTCCCAGAATTCTCATGTTTCATTCCTTGAAGAGTAAAAGGGGCTCCAGCTTATCCCAGCTAACTACTCCAGCTACCAGATCATGCTGGATATTGCCAATCCCTAATCCATCCCAAGGCCTTTAAAGTATTTTCTGATGCTGAACTGTGGCTTGACCTCCATTTAGGCAGGAGATTCCCCCCTCACACCCCTTGGCAAGGCAAGAGCACAGGGAACAGGGGGGGCTGTTGGGCAGCTCAGGAAGTAAAATAAAAAATAACAGAAAAATCAATAGAATGATGGTTTTCTTCCCAGAATCTAAGGGCAATCCCTGCTGGCCACTTCAAGAGCTTTTCACTTCTTTTGCATGGGTGTAAAATATGAAATTATTGCACAAAGCCAGGTTTGCTTTCAAACACAGTCTGAGCAGAGTGAACTCGAGAGAACACAGTGGGGAGAGGAACAGAACTTACCCGTGAGCCTGAAACACTGGAAACCTCTTTTCTGGGACACTGTCCAGCATTTCCTGCATCCCACACACACAGTACTCCATCACCATATACGTGAGGGCAGAGTTAAGGAAGCTCCAGGGTTAACACTCAGTGTTAAACACCCCTCAGAGGGAATGGCTGCACTTCCCAAGTGCTGAGGGAATGTTCCTCCAGCTCCCACAGGACAGGAAAGCACCTACAGGAAAATCCTTCTGCCAAATGAGCATCTGCAGCTCCGTGGCCAGACCTGGAACAGGATGGGAACTCCATGACCAGATCTGGAACAGGATGGGAACTCCACAGAAAATGAGCTGGAGATCTCACAGGCATGACAGAGAACAGGGAAATACCTTGAAGTGGGCACAGAAAGTTGGGAAATCCCTGGCAAAAGAGCTGCAGCCCATTCCTCCAGTGCCCTGGGTGTTCTGCAGCTCAAAGTGAGCTCCCACCACCTTCCCCAAAGTTGGTTATTCCTCACTCCCCATCCCAAACAATCCAGTTGTGCGCTCTGTGGAACAGCTGCTGCTTACCCCCAGCTCCGCAGGAGTATTCCAGTAGCAGGAAAAAGGATCCTTGGAGAGCTGAGAAGCTTTGTGAAATCACATAGATAAAAACAGAACGCCAAGAGCGGCTGGCACTTTGCAGCATTTGCTCCCTTGCAGCATATTCCAGTTTTTATCTCTGTAAGCTTTAATTCTGGGGCCAAAAAAAATGGGAACCAGACTGCCTGATGTTGTAGTTGCCTGTTTTCTCTTCTCCCTGGGCTTTTGAAGGCAAAATTTGGCTTGGAGGGGCCTGGGAGAACAGACCTTGGGACATTGGGGAGTGTCCTGACAGAGCAGAGCTGCCAGGGCTCCCTCCTGAGCATGGTCAGTTATTCCTCCAGGCAGTTGCTTTCTTAACCTAAACCCAAAATAAATTACTTTTGCCCCAAGAAGCCACCTGAGGTAGAAGAGGCAGAAGGGAGACTCCTGCCCTGGGTGGGATCTGGGCTGAAGACTCTGCGGCCCTCTGTTCCATCTAGCAGCTCCAAACACTGAAAACTCATTAAATTCCTGCTCCATTCCCCATGAGAGACCCTAAAATACTCTAAATTTACCCTAAACCAGAATTTATGATGCGCATAAAGATTCTCAGTAAATCAATCAAAGCAAGAATAGAAGAGAGAGCTCCCAAAATTCATTCCTACCCTGGAAGAAATCTGTGAACTGCTCCTATCACAGTGATTTGGAATATATCAACTCTCCCACTGTCAGGAGAATAACAGTGGTGGTGGATAATCCAGAGCAGCTCCAGGGGAGCAAAGAGGCTCAAGGACAGCCCTGGCTGGGTGTCATTAACAGCCAGGCTGCTCCTCACCCCTCCCTGGTCACTGATCCCCCTCAGGTTGATCAATCAGATTAGAGAACAGACTTCCAGGCTGGAGCAGATCTGTTACAGGTGCCCCAAGCTCTCAGTTCTCCTCCTCAAGGGTTTCTGCTCCCACACTCAGCTCCACACACTGGTAATGGGATCCCTGGGATGCTGCTCATGGAACTGGGTTCATTTTCTGCCTGGATGAGCTCTCCATTCACCACTGGCTCTGCACTCCCAGCCACAGCAGGCCAGCAAACTTAAATACTAAAAGCCATTGATATTTTTAATCCAGTTGCCACAGCTTTCCCTTTCCCACAAAAAAATCACTGAAGGTTTTTAATAGGTGTTCAAATGCTGTTTTAACCTGAAGGGAGCCTACAAGAAAGATGGAGAGGGATTTTTCAGAAGAGGACACAGTGACAGGACACGGGGAAATCGCTTCACACTGACAGAGACGTGGGTTAGATGGGAGATTCGGGAAAAAATCTTCCCTGTGAGGATGGTGAGGCCCTGGCAGAGGTTTCCCTGAGAAGCTGTGGCTGCCCCTGCATCCCTGGAAGTGTCCAAGGCCAGGCTGGACAGGGCTTGGAGCAACCTGGGATAGTGGAAGGTGTCACTGCTCATGGCAGGGGTGGGATGGGATGAGCTTTAATGTCCTTTTTAACCCAAGCCATTCTGTGACTCTATGACAAACAGCTCAAGCCTGCAGTGCACTTCCACCAGCAACAGAACACTCAGGTGGGGACAGAATCCTTCCTTCCACAGCCCCAATTTCCAATCCCACAGTGCTTGTTCTGGAAATGAGGATTTTTCTATACACTCAGGTGGGGACAGAATCCTTCCTTCCACAGCTCCAATTTCCAATCCCACAGTGCTTGTTCTGGAAATTGGGATTTTTCTCTTTAATCACCAATAGGAAAGTTGACATCTCCCCCTAAATCCCAACTCTGCATCCTGCCAGGAACCAACATAGCCCTGAGCATGACTCAGGGCCCTGCCCCCAGGGCAGCCTCAGGGATACAGTCCCTTTTCTGCTGGATCTGTTCCCAAAATTGTTCCTCATGTGGCTGCTCAAGGTCTGCTCTACCACAGCCCAGGCAGTGCCTGTCAGGAGCTGGGGAAGGGCTTGAACAAAATCATGGATGATTTCACTGATTCCAGTGAAAACAAATTCCCCCAGTTACTGCCAGAATCAGCACAGGGAGGAACAAACTTCGTGAGAGTGTAGAAGCAGATAAAGATAAAAATAACAAAGTCAATCTATCCTTGCAAGGGAAAAGCACTGAAAACCAACTCTGGACCAGCACTGCTCCAAGTCCAGCAAGGAGCATCCTTGGAGAGATCCCATTTCCCAGTGATGGTTTTGTGTTGTCATCACCTGGTACCAACACACGATGTCTCTCTCGGGCTCCTTTTCCCCCTGCTGCCTCCTCCCTTCTACCTAATTAACCAGGACCTCTCTATCAATAATTGACTTGCAGTCCCCTCACTCTGCAGAGGCCACAGAACGAGCAGAAGCTGTCACACTCCTTTATCCTAATGATCTGGTGGCAGAGTGTTTGATCTAATTAATGCACACAATTAAATTACTCCTTTTCTGGAGTACTGTAATAAGAAGACAGTAGTTAGAAAACACTGTCAAAAATAAAAGGATCCATTTATAACATATGCTACAAGGGATCAGCTCCAGGAACTTCCACACTGGTTCCAGACAAAAGTGCTCTCAAAATCCAGCAAAGTGAGGATAAAATTGCCTTGATCAGAGCCTGTGTGAATTTGTGTTTGTGTGCAAAGTCTGCCAGGTGGGCAGGATGGTTATTAGCAGCGAAAGCAATTTAGCTGCAAAAATTTAAGCTTAAGAAACATCCAAAAGGGCTTTTCCAAAAGCAGAACTAGAACAGAGAACAGTGGAAGCTCAAACCTGACCAACAGCCCTGTGCAAAAGGATATATTTTCTGTTTCTCCTCGTTGTACAACACATCCACCAGCTGGATGACGTTTTTGTGCCGTAATCTCCGCAGGAGCTGGATCTCCCTGCAGGAAGAGACAAGGAAAAGTTATATTTAAAAAGCTTATTCCTAACTCAATTTCTTCCAAAATTTCACCCAAACTTAACTTGACTGAATGGCTCAGAGACCTGAAGTGAATTTTGTGTTTGTGGGGAATAAATAAAAACAGTGAGGAGCCACCTTCCCTTGGCTTGGGGAACAGCCCCTTGAATGCCACCTTCTGTCACCTGCTCTGATCTTTGGCTCCAGGGATTTTATACCTGCCCCAAACCACACTTTAGTCTCTTTTGCATTAAACTCATCCTGCAAAATCCCACTGGGTGCCAGCTGTGGAGAGACAGGCAGAGCAGGACAGTCAGGTCAGGGTGGTTCTGTTGGTGCCTGGCAGTGCACGTCCTGCTTTTCACTTTGTTCTGCTGCTGCTCCATCCTGGGCTGTGCTGAGCTCCCAAATTCTCCTTCCCAGAATGATCTGGTGAGTGCTTTCAGCAGTGTGGTCACACTTCATCAGCTCAGCCTCTGGGAAGCAGCATTACAAGGAATTCTGAGCACAGCTTTGGAAGTGAGAGCCCCTGCCCAAAGGCAGCTCAGAGCCCCTCATGGGCACAATTAGCAGCTCCAGTAATGAGCTGGGGCCAGCACAAAGGCTGAGCAACAACCAGGAGCTGCTCCTTGGAAAGGGGTTCTCTGATCCAGGAGTGCAAGGAGAATCCTTACTGATCTTTTAAGGATGCCTGAGCAGTGTGAATTATTTCACTACCAAAATTAAGGCCAGAGACTCCTTTCTCAGCTCTGGATTTGGAAGAAACCACCAAGAGCTGAGCAGAGACCCAGGATACCACAGCAAAACTCCCAAGTATTGTGTGGACATGGCAGACAAGTCTAATTATAGGAATGACCAAAGGGCTGAAGTGGATTAAATTAGCACAAGGAACAGCAGCCAGTGTCAGTGTGGAGCTGAGGAGATCCTGCAGCACAAAGGGAGAGGGCTGAGGGCTCCAACCAGGGCTGCCAGAGGAGAGCAAACACACTCAAACACAACTTTAGGCCCAAAATGTTGGGAACACATTTAAAATCCTGATCCCAACAGCTCATTCCCTGTAATACAACTCAGAAGCCCAAACACTCATTCCTACAAATAAATATCTCATATTTCTGTGATGATTTTCCCCCCCTCAGGAGGACTCCGTGAACCAATCCAAAATGCCAGGGCAGTGCCCCCACCCCTGGGGCACAGGCCAAGCCACCCTTTTCCCAGAGGAAAGATTACTTCTATTTTTAGCCCCTCTTTGGCTCTGGAATGCCTGAGGAGCAGGGACAGCCAGCTCAGTCACCTCCAATCCCATCTCACTTTGCAAACCCCTCGAGTAGGGGAACAGAGGTCTCACCTCCTCAGAACAGGCCTAAATTTGATTTTTTTTCCTTCCAAAACTACCAAGAAAACCCCACTGCAAGTGTGTGAGCAGACAGATTGCCAGAAACCAAGGCTGCTTCCAAGTGCACCCTCCTTGGAAGGAGACAAGGGGGAAAAAAGACCTAACTCGAGCTCTGTCAGATCCATTAAGCTCATCCTGGTGGATTAAGATTTATCCCCTGCAAGGTACCTGCTTTAAACAGGGGGTGTTGCTGCTCAGAACTGTAAATAGCAAAGCTGCCCCCTTGTTCCATGGGCCACAGCATTTCGGAAGATGCCAAAGGCAGCCTGGAAAGGCAGATTCTCCTTTCTGGATATCTCCACTGTGAGATGCAGTGTTCTTCCTACAGCTTGTTCCCAGCCTAACAAAACACAGCCAAAAGATTCATTGCCTTCCTTTGGTTTTGCCTTCCCACAACATCCTGAAAGCTTAGGGAGTGCAGCACCTGATCCAGGACTGGCTGGAAGTGCCAGGAAGATTTCAGTGTCACTTTTTCCCTTTCCTAGTCCCAAGAGTTCATCCACATCCTGCTCCTGCAGCGATGTCTGGCATTCCAAATTCTATATCCATCAGAATATGGAATTCTGGGCTCTTCCAGGTGCCAGCATTTCACCTCCCAACCCGAGCAAACACCCAGCTCAGCAGAGGAAACCCTTGAGCCAAGGGGAACACATCTCTGAGGAGGAGGGATCAGCTCATTCCCACCTGAGCTCACACCTCCAGGGCTTCCAGCAAATCTGTCCCTGTTTGGAGGTTCCAGCTCCTGGGACTTGCAGACCCCAGGAACTGCCACAGCACAGCCCCATAACCCAGGACAACCCTCTGAGGAATTCCAAGGAGCACAAATTCCAAGCAGAGCAATTGCTGAGGTGGTAAGTACAGCACAGGGCACTTGGGATCCCACAGAGCCCCAAACACTTAATTAACGTGTCAGGCTATTAGCACACAGCGTTATTAAACCTCTGCTGCTGCTGCAGCCACAGGCTGCCAGGTTTTCCTGCCTTTTTTTTTGGCAATTCCACTAAACTCCTTTTTTTTTTGCAGGGATGAGATTCTGCAGTGTCTGCCTGACTGAGCCACCTCCACCTGCTCTATAGAGAAATTATTGTCCCAACAGATTTAAGGAAATTGTGTCTTACAAGTTTAAGCCCTCAACATCCTCTCCAGGACTCAGAGAGCCCTTCAGGGCTCGTTTTCCTGGGGCAGAAGCGGAGTGTTTTGGAGTAGAGAAAAATAATTTGATTTTATATAAGTCCCAAACACATTTTAGTTGTAATTTCTGGGTCTCCAGAACAACAGGGCTGGGGCAGAGATGAGCCTGTGGCCTGGGATATCAGCAAGGAGTGACCCAAGGTTGGCATTAACATCCCATTTCCAGCCCAACACCTGCAGGTGCCCAAGGCCCAGCTCAGACCTGTGTGATCCTCCACAGCACATTAGTGCACTCTCATTACTCCCTGTGTGTTACTGCTTGTGGAATTACCCAAGGGGCACTGTCTAGGAACCGTTTTCCAGGGATTTCCTCGGAGGACAATTCCATTCCTGTGCTATCAGCACAGCTCTGAGGGAGGAGCCCACCACAGTAACTCAATCACCTCTGCCCAACAGCCCAAACCTCACGTGCAGCTTTTCCCTGTGTGGTGAGAAACACCGGAAACCACTTCAGTGATCAGATTCCAAGAGAGAAAGCAGAGCCCAACAGTGTGATCCAGCCCACAAACTGATTCCCTGCTGTCCTGTGCACAGGAGCAGTTTTTGGGCATAAACTCCTCAAAGCTGCCCAAAATGAGATTCCAGTGCAATCTGGCCATGTTTACATTAAAATACTGTGTCAGTGTCCTGTCCAGCACTACCTGGAGACCCCACAGCACTTTGTTCCTCCCACCCTGTTTGGTCACATATCTCACACTCAGAGCAGACACAGCTTTCACTCCCTCTCACAGCAGCGCTGAAGGATTCTGATAAGCTCAGAGTGCCAAGGGACCAGGGAACCACAAAATACAAGAGTTTGCCTTAAAATTCCCCACTGAAGCAGCAGATAAAGCACATGGATAGGTGGTCAGAGGGAAAAGGATGAGGGAACAGAAATAGGAACTTGAACTAAAGTTAAACCCCTGGGTACAAGGCAAGACCTAAAATCTGCCTTGGTGTTTTGGAGCAGGTGGGGCTGAGCCAGGAAATGTCCACAGAAAGTCCCTTTTAATAACTCCTTTAATGACCCATCTGATACTCACAGCCCCGTTCTGGGTGTGAATAAAACTTCCACGGAGTTCACCTCAGGACACAGGAGCATTCCCATGGCTCTGAGAGCAGGGAACTCTCCTGATGTGGGCAAGCTCTTTTTACCTAATTTACATGGAAAGCTTCCCTAAGGAGGAAACCATCTCCAGGTTCCCCAGTGGCAGCTCTGGATGTGCCCGTGGAGGGACCCAGGGACGGGGCACTCAGCCTCCACCAGAAAAACAAGAAACATTTTATTACACATTAACCAAGTTTGCTCGATCCTGAACCCGAGCCAGGAAGGGAGAGAGACAGGGAGGTCCCAGCCTTGGGATGTGACTGTTCCACAGCCAAGAAAGGTTGGAAGGCAAAGTGAGAGAGCTCCCTGACAGCAGTGCTGGGACAGGATGTGAAATATCCCGCAGCTAAACTGGGAAATCAAACGGAGGGACAGACACAGGGCTCTGCAGGTCGGGGCTCACCCACAGCAGAACAGCACAAGAGTATCCTCGACCTCTCAGAGCTCTCCCTCCCAGCCTAGATAAACCCTCCTGGGTTGTTTGGGCTGCAGAGGCTCCTGCAGGGCTGATAAGCAGCTCCTGGCAGGGCTGCTGTGAGGTCCAGGGCAGGGAGAGTTCCCACAGCAGCCCCACGGATCCAGCCCCTCCTGGGGTTCACTTCCATGAGGGCTTTGTACCCTGAGTAACCAGGTGTGGCAGAGGCACAGAGAGCTGACAACCCTTGGCCCCGGTTTACAGCCACAGAAATCAGCTGGGGAGAGCCTTGAGTTAACTCCCAAGGACCTTAGGAACGAAGCCAAGGAAAAAACCCCAAAACTTCCTGTGCCTATGGAGTGCTCCATATATTGGATCCTGTTTCAGCCATCTTCCACAGGGGTGGGAGGAGGAATTGCCACCACAGAGAGCTCCAGGGAACACCTGGGGACACCTTTGGAACACCTGGGCAGATACAGGAATAAGCCTGTGAGGACACCAGGTGTGTTTGTAAGGTCTCACCTCACCCAGGTGCTGAGAGGACACAGAGGAACTGCTTTAAGAAACAACATTTTATCCATTAAACGACACCAAAGTGGTGTATCCCAGACTGTCCCAGCCCTTGGGAACCTGTGCCCAGCCTCACCCAGAGCACTGGCTGCTGTTCAGAGGCAAGAGATTCCTAAATACCTGTGGATTAGGAAGCACTTCCACAGCAGATCCACGCTGTCAGCTAAAACAAGAGCTCAGCTGCTGAACAAGAACCAAGCTCACCCATCCAGCTCCCAGAGCTCCTTACTCACTTTTTCACGTTGGCCTCCCCGTTGGGGATCCGGCGCAGCTTCTTCTTCTTCAGGATCTTGACGGCTCTCCTGCACAGGGTCTCTGAGTCCAGCATCTCCTTGACTTTGCCGTAGGAGCCCTCTCCCAGCAGGTCTCCCATGAGGTACTTGCCGATGAGCTTGGCCCGTTTGCGCCGGGGCTGGTAAATGACCTCGGTGGAGTCGATGCGGTGGATGAACGTGTCCATGCCCACCGACATCAGCTCGCTCTCTGCAAACATTCCCAGCTGCTGGGGCTCCTGCAGATCCATCCTGGATTAAGTTCCTTAACCTGTTTTTTTTTTTTTTTTTTTTTTTTTCCTTAAGCGCTCAAGGCTTTAATCCTTGTTTTGTTAAGTTTCCAACACTCCCTTTTTACTCCTTCTCGGGAAAAAAATATCCAGAAGATTGTACAAACATGAATAATAATAATAATAAAAAAAAAACAACCAAGAAAAAAAAAAGAAGGAAAAAAAAAGAAAAGAAAAACCAAACCTAAGAGCTGCTTCCAGGTCAATTGGATGCCAAAAGATCCCGGCCTGGATCCAGAATGTCTTTGAAAAAGAACATAAATCTGTGACGGGACACACTCAGTTCGGGACTCGCGTTGCTTCCGACCCGGTCCCGCTACCGGGGGCACTTCCCAGTCAGCTGGCCTTGGCTGGGCCCAGTTTGATCCTACAGACTTAGGTCATCTCCGGGCCCGTCAGGCCACCCCGTGGAACCAGAGCAGCTCCCAGTCCCTCTCGTGACTTTCCATGCCTAGGAGCTCACGGTTCCAGCCGGGGTGGGAAGGTGTGCGCTCCCCCCGGAGCACGGGCCGAGGCGGGGGTTCAGCCGTTGGGGAGCTGGAAGCAAGTTTCCTTGAAGGAGTTTTCCCAAACAATTCTTGCGTCTTCGCTTTCGCCTATAAAAGTTTGAGGCCTTCGGTGCCTACCGAGAGCTCCCGGGGGCATCCTTCATCCACCGGGATTGCGCCCGGCACATGATGTGTCACCACCGCCTCTGCTCCGGGTGTCAGCGGTGCAGGACAACACAACCCCCGTTGATCCCGGGAGGGGTCAGGGAGACCCCCCGTGCCCCAACACCCGGCTGCTCCCGGGGGATCTCCTGCCCGGTGTCCGGGTCTTCACGGAGAGAGGTGGGGAGGTTAAGGATGCCCACCCGGCCCGGACGGTGCCTCCCGCACCTCCCACAGGTGTCAGCGGGGCTGGCGGCGGGGCACGGCGGGAGAGCAGAGCGGAGTGACAGGGGACAGGACACTTTCAGTGCGACAAAATCAGCGCCGGAGCCGGGACGGGACGGGACGGACTCCCAGGGAGGGTTCGGTGACCTCCAGGCCCTTCCCGGCCCGGGCCGGCTCCTTCCCCGCACGCAGCTCCGGCCGCTGCCACCCGCCCGAACGGTGAACTGGGGGAGGGGGGGGCGAGCGGCCGAGTCCCCCCTCCCCGTCGCCAGGCGGGGGAGCCGGGCCGGGCCCCGGCGCCGCGCTCCGCCCCGCCGAGCCGCCGCCTCCCGCGTCCCCCCAAGTTCAGGAGCCGCCCCTCGGCCGCTGCCCCCTGGCGCTCTCCCGGCCCCGGTCCCGTTCCTCGTCCCGGTCGCGCCGCCCCGTTACCGCCCGCCCCGCCGCGCGCGCGCCGCCGACGCCGCTGCCGCCATCTTGTCCCCGCCCGCCCCCGCCGTTCCGTCCGCCCCCCCCGCCCCGCTCCGCGCCTCGCGCCGCCCCGGCGCGCGCCCCCATTGGCCACGCCGTCGGCCCCGTCCCCGAGCGCTCGAACGCTGATTGGCCGCGGCTACATCACGTCGGGTTCCGGTTGGTTCGTTACGAACGTCCCTCCCACCCACCCCGGCCGGCGGCGGGGCTATGTGATAGGTTAACCGAGCTGTCCATCAGCTCTATGGGCGGGGATTGAGGTGCAATTCAGATGCGATAGTTCATAGGCGATGTCCGTCGCGACTGAGGGCGGGGCTGACGGCGGCGACGCGCTACGATTGGCTGTGAGCGCTGTCAATCACCACTCGGAGGCGGGGCAGAGGGCGGTGAAGGGCGGAGGGCAAAGGGCACGCGGGAGTCATGGAGACGGGACCGGCACGGACCGGCCCTGCCCTATCGGGGAGCGGCCTTGCCCCGCCGGGGAGCGGCTCTGCCCCATCGGGGAGCGGCCCTGCCCCACCAGAGACTGGCCCTGCCCCACCAGAGACCGGCTCTGCCCCATCGGGGAGCGGCCCTGCCGCGCCGGGGAGCGGCCCTGCCTCTCACCAGGGACCGGCCCTGCCCCGTCAGGGAGCGGCCCTGCCCCGCCGCCCTCACGGTCCGCCCGCCGCGTTTGGCGCGCGCTGCAGCCGCTTCGGGTTTGGGGTGACCCCGCTCCCCCTGTTCCGCTCGGTTCCGGCTGCACCTCGTCCCATCCTGCCCAGCCAAGCAACTGCGAGGGCATCCCCAAAATAACGGCACCGGTTCTAGCGCCCGGTCAGACCCCGGCACAGCCCGGGGGAACGAACGGGCTCCTCCTCCCTGCGCCGCCTCCCCCTCAGGGCCCCGGCCACGGCAGAGCCGCCTCTCCTGCGGGCACCCTCCGGTGGCTCCTAAGGGTTGGGCTGCGCACGCTGCTCTCCCCGTTCAAGGCTCGGTTTCACCGGATACCGGGGATGTCCAGCCCGGGGAGTTGCGGTGTGACAGCTCCGGCCGGGAGCACCGGGAACCGGTGCCGGTACATGGGGTTTGTGCAGTGTCAGCTCAGGGGAGCCACGGTGCTCCTGCGGCCGCCTCCAGCCCCGCTGTGCCAGAGGCTCAAACCCTTTGGCCAAAGGGATGGAACCAGACTGAGCTGGGATTGGAACATGGAGCAGCAGCTCCGAGAGCTGAGCCACTCATTTGAGGCAGGGCAGGACAAATATATGAATTCTCCCTTTCCACGAGAGCTGCTGACACTGCATGGATTCCAAAGCACAGGTGGGAGAGTCCTGAGGCTGTTTTGGGGGGCCTGAGCATGGTCAGGGCCTCATGAGTCCCCAAAAGGTCAGATCACTGTGATGCTCCAGTTTGTTGGAGGAATTTGATTTATTCAAGAAATTTGAGCCTGTGAAGGTTTGGGAGGAGGTTCCAAAGAGGGGGTGCAGAGGAGGGGGCTGCTCTGCTGAGCCCTCCAATCCCGCCAGCACCGCCTTTCCCTCCTCCCTCAACGGCTTCTGTCACGACAGCACCCAGCCCCGGGTGATTTATTCCAGTCTTGGCACCAAGTCCAAAGTTCTGGAACCCATCCCCGAAATTCTGGTAAGTGCTGTGCATCCCCTTCCCGAGGTGTTCCCAGCAGTGGGAGGGCTGGAGGAGCTCCTGACACTCCACACTCTGCTCCCTGCCTGTCCTACTCCCTCTCCCACCAGGGTGGCAGAACAATCCCCCCCAAAAGGCAAAATCCTGTTCGACTGTCCAGGAATGAGCCACTGGAATGGGACAAGCCAAGGACTCACATGGGGTGTCCCCAGGTACCCCCAAGCCCTGTCCCCCATTGGGGCTGCAGGTGCATCAGGCAAAGCCAGAGGCTCTTGGGCTTTCCCAAATATTTGCACCAGCATCGTCCCCTCCAGAGGGGAGGTGACAAGCTGGGAGAAATAGCTGACACCTGCCAAAATTGTGGCACATGGGGCAGGCAGAAGCTGAACCCTCACCCTCTGCAGCCCCACAACCTGGCCAAGGGGGCACAGAAGGGTTTATTCACACATGGGATGGTTTTGTGGGACCCTGGCATCACAGATGGTCCCATCCCTGCCCCCTGCATGCCCCAGCCCTGCCAGGACCCTGCACGGGGCAGGGTCTGTCCCTTGGTTGCCTCTTCCCGCAGCTCCGGGGGCACAGGGCCAGCTGGCGGCACGGCTCCACAGCCCTCACCCCACGGAAAGTCAGGGGATTTCCAGGCTCTGGGAAAAAACAGGAAGTGGCAGTGGGTGACAGCAGCCAGGCACACCCCAGTGTGGAGCTGCTGTGCAGCTGAGCCCATGGGATCAGGGCCCAAAAACTCCCATCTTGGTCCCCATTTCCTGAGACTGGGTGTCTTATAGGGACCAGCTCCCCAAAATGCCCATCTTTGTCCCCATTTCCTGAGACTGGGGGTCTTACAGGGACCAGCTCCCCCAAAACTCCCATCTCTGTCCCCATTTCTGAGACTGGGTGTCTTACAGGGACCAGCTCCCCCAAAACTCCCATCTTTGTCCCCATTTCTGAGACTGGGTGTCTTACAGGGCCAGCTCCCCAAAACTTCCATCTTTGTCCCCATTTCCTGAGACTGGGTGTCTTACAGGGACCAGCTCCCCCAAAACTCCCATCTTTGTCCCCATTTCCTGAGACTGGGTGTCTTACAGGGACCAGCTCCCCCAAAACTCCCATCTTTGTCCCCATTTCTGAGACTGGGTGTCTTACAGGGACCAGCTACCTGGGAAGGGCTGTTCCTGGAGAAGCCAGGCTGTTTTCCTGGGACATTGCTCCTGTAAAGGGGAAAACAGACCAGGAGACAACTCAGATGTCCTCACATCTCCCACCAGTGCAGGCACAGTCTCCCAGCCCAGCATCACTTCTGCTTCATTAGAGTTTCCTGTGTGAATTGGGATCCACAATTCACACAGGGTGGGAGGAGGAGGAGATCCTGGTAAGGGAAAAATGGGTTTGGTGGTTCTGGGAGGAGGGAGATTCAGTGCTGGATGGATCCCTGTGTGTTCTCCCACTGTGCTTATTTATTTGTATTTGTGTAACACCAAATAAAGATTCAAAAGAAGGATCTCTGTAAGAAGTGTATGTTGGAAAATGTGACAGGATTGCCTTGATTAATTACTTTATGCAAATGAATGAAGGATGGGAGCAGTGGGATTAGCAGGGGGAGAAGGGGAGTGTCACAGACCTTCCTGGTTCCCCCTTTGCCTCTGGCACACACCCAAAATTCCCAAGGACCTGGTGTTAATGTGGTTCCCATCTGCCAGTACTTCCCTTTTTGGGGATAAATCAGTTCCCTCTGGCTGCTGCTGTGCTGGTGTAAAAATCCAGGAGGCTTCTGTGTGACCCCTTGGGATTTTGTTCCTACTGTGGGACTGCAAAGGTGGCATGAATCCAATGTAACAATGGGAAATTAAAAATATTAAAAGGCCTGGTGTGAGGAAAACAAGTGAGGAGCCTGGGATGGTCAGAGCAGGTCATTCTCCAGCCTTGTGATTTAATTCCTGCAGCAGGACTTTGTGGCATGGGAGTGGGCAGAATCCTTGGAAGCTGCTCAGGGTTTGAGTGTTTCCAGCTCTCCTGTGTCCTTTGTGGGTTGAGCTGCTGCCCTGGTCCTGCAGGGAGGAAAAGTGAGGAATTTCCTTTTCTTTTGAGAGGAAAAGGACTGGACAGACTCTGCTCAGGCTGTGGAGTCTGATGGGCCAATGGTGTGCACAGCCAAGGCTGCTCCGGGACTTTGGTTTGCTTCCCATTTCCATCCCATCCTGGGATGGATGGATGGATGGATGGATGGGTGAGTGGGTGGATGGGTGGGTGGATCAATGTGGGATGAAAGGCGAGCACTCTGGATCCACACCGATGCAAAGCCTGTGGGAACGGGCCATGCTGAGACCCACGGGAGCCCCCGGGCCGGGTGTGGACCCGGACGCGCCGTTCCGGGGGCAGCGCCCGTTCCTGAACGGGGCGGGGGGAGGCGGCCCCGGGCCTTTGCCGGTCTCCGGAGCCGCGGGCCTCGCTGCCCGTTCATCACTCGGGGCCACCCTGGCGGCTCCCACCGAAACCGAGTTCCGAGCCCTGCATCTCCTGCTTCCCGCTCCGCGGCCTGGCCCGGTTATCCCGTTCCGCTCCCCACTCCTGGTTCTCCCGTTCCTCGCTGCCCACTCCCGGTTCTCCCGTTCCCGCTGCCCACTCACAATCCCCGCTGCCCGGTTCTCCGGTTCCTCACTCCCGGTTCTCCCGCTGCCCACTGCCGGTTCCCCCGTTCCCCACTCCCGGTTCTCCCGCTGCCCACTCCCGGTTCCCCCGTTCCCCGTTCCCTACTCCCGGTTCCCCACTCCCGTTCCCCCGTTCCCCACTCCGGTTCTCCCGCTGCCCGCTCCCGGTTCTCCCGTTCCCCGCTCCCGGTCCTCGCCCGGTCGCCGCCTCCCCTTTCCCCGGAAGCTCTGTGGCCCTTCCAACATGGCGGACCCGGAAGCGGCGCCAGGCGGCGGCGGCCGGGCGGGAGCCTGAGCCCCGGAGCGCCCGGGACCCCCGGCAGCCCCGCGACCCCCGAGCACAGGTAAGGGCCGCCCGCTCGCTGCCCCCGGGGCCCCCCGCTTCCTCCCCTCCGGCCCGATCTCTCCGTGGGCGGGGGCCGCGGGCCCGCTCGGGCCGGGCTGGGGGGTTCGGTGGGGACGTGGCCCCCGGCGGGGCCTGTCCCGGGAGCCGTCGGTCGGTGCCGCGGGGAGTCCGGGGGCTGCGGGGCTCGGGCCG